GGATGTGGGGAGTCCCGTTGTCGTCTTCCCCGCTACAGATCTGTTCCATACAGATTCGACTGACTTCCCCTTAACTCCTTTTGGCCTGAGATCAGGGAAGGTTCTATGAAAATATTTCCCTTAGTTTCTCCCAAACTGCTGCCTAAGCCATCATATTGCCACATCTTAAACCTGAGCTTGACTCCTGAGCTGCACCCCTGCTCCAACCAACGTGAACTGCTATCCCAAGCAAGTTCAGCTTAACTTCCTTGGCTTCTCTGGGATTTATATTAGGTCCTGCCACCTGCAGAGATGTGATACAGGTGTTCTAGGCATGTGTTAAAATAAACACACACACAGACACGCATGCACGCACACACACATATGCACACCTCTGCTCACACATTTTTTTGCAAAAATTCATGTGCTTGAGCACTCAGGCCACTAGGGGACTAGACCTTGGTGTTTATTCCAGACCTCTGGTACTTGGACCACAAGAAGCTGAGTGACACCTGCTTCACTTCTACCTTCCAGTCCTCGAAGCCCTCTCTAGGAAGTTGGGGCAGTCGGCTGCTTAGCTAGTGTCAAGATCCTGGCTGGGCCAGCAGATCTCAAGACCTGAGACTGCAAAAGATCGTGGTCCAGCCTTCTTTGTTCTCTCACCCCACAAAGGCGTCAGTGGTGTCCTACAGGCCACAGCCCTCCTGTGCTCAGTTTGCTAACTCCCCACTCTATCCTTGCCCCTCTGTGGGCATCTAGTATTGTCCTCCACTCACCTTCCTGATGGCCCAATAGTCATTTCCTCCCAAATCCAGCATGGTTTGCCTTTCCGCTTCCCACTTTGTTTCTCTTCCCAGCTCCCACTTCCTGCCTACACCCTCCTCAGCTACACATGACACACACACACACACACACACACACACACACACACTCTCCAGGGATGGGTGCTCATTGTAGAAGGGCCTTTCTTAACTGTCTTCCACCTCTGAGAAATCTAACCTAAGGCCTGCTGCTACCCTATAGACAAATGTGCGGTACAACATTCCTGTGTCCTCTGCCTCCCTCTCGGCCATCAAGAACTTGGGCCTCAGGGGCATCTCACACATCAGCTTGACCAATCTGGATGGCTCACCAGCTTCGCACCAGGTACTGCAGTCTGTTGCTTACCACTTAGGCCCACACCTGGAGAGCTTGTGCCTGGGTGGGGGCAGCCCCACAGAGGCATCCTTCTTGGCCCTGATCCTGGGATGCCCAGTCCTGCGCACCCTTGATCTCAGCGGCTGCAACAGTCTTTTCACATCAGGCACTCTGCTGGCTCAGCCTGAGACAGCGCAGTGTGTCCGAAAGGCATTGAGTGGCCTTCGTGATCTTAACCTGGCTTGCCTGCGTGACCTAACTGACCTCAGCTTCAACCATCTCAGTGGTTGTTTCCCTAGCCTGGAACGCCTCTCCTTGGCCTACTGCCATCTTACCTTTGAGTTAGGCCCAACCTGGGGCTCCATTACCCCGCAGGTTTCCTCTCCCTCCCAGCTTTCCTTCCACAACCTGCTTCAGTTCGTCAAAGAGCGAGCTGGTAGGCTGCGTGCCCTAGACCTTAGTGGTACTGGCTTGCCACCTGAGGCCCTACAAGCCCTGGGCCAAGTGACTGGACTGCAGCTGGAGGAGCTGAGCTTACACAGCTGTAGAGACCTCTCCTCAGAGGCTGTGGCCACCCTGTGCCGCCAGCAGCCTGGCCTTACTTCCCTGGACCTCAGTGGCTGCTCAGAGCTGACTGACAGGGCACTCTTGGCTGTGAGCCGAGGCCTCCAACACCTGCGGCACTTGAGTCTGAGGAAGCTGCAGCGGCTGACTGATGCGGGTTGTGCAGACCTGGGGGCCCTGCATGAACTGCAGAGCCTGGACATGGCTGAGTGCTGTCTCGTGAGCGGTCGGGAACTGGCCCAGGTCCTAGGCTCAGTTCACAGAGCTCCACCTGCACTGACTTCTCTCAGGCTGGCTTACTGCTCTTCACTGAAGGTGAGTTACTCTCCCTCCCTTCCTTTCCAGGGCACCTGGGGGAGCTGGGCCTGTGGCCTCAGAAGGGCTAACCAGTGTTTGTGTCCCAGGATTAGTAGTTAGAAATGAATTTGGGATGTGGTCTGAAAGGTAACAGCAGCTTAGATAGATAATGTGGTGGCACATGCCTCTACTGTCCTTGCTGGCCTGTCTCTACACTGTATGTGAGTTCTGGAAGGAGGAAGCCCAAAGAGTGATAGAAAATGTGACAGAGGCGGTGGTGGCACACGTCTTTAATCCTTAACAGCACTCACTCGGGAGGCAGAGGCAGGCGGATCTCTGTGAGTTAGAGGCCAGCCTGGTCTACAGAGCGAGTTCCAGAACAGCCAGGGCAACACTGTCTTGAATAACCAAAACCAAAAATAAATAAATAAATAAATAAATAAATAAATAAATAAATAAATAAATAAATAAACAAACAAGCAAATAAATAAATAAAAGAAAAAACAGAAAGAAAGAAAACTTGGCAGGCATGGTAGCACACACCTTTTATCTCAGAGGCAGGCAGATCTCTGAATTCAAGTCCAGCGTGGTCTACAGAGTGAGTTCTAGAACAGCCAGGGCTATACAGAGAAACCCTGTCTGGAAAAACACAATAGGAGGTTTTGTATTGTATTGCACTGAAGAAGATACTCAGTAGGCAGGGCCTTGGGGCGGGTCACTTGGGAGCTTTACCATCACCTCTTGGCTGAAGTCAAACCCATCATAGGGCTCAGTATTGCCCATATGGGTGGCATTCATTTCTGACAGTGTCAGCTGGTCCCTTTTTGGTGGGTTATCCCTTTAACCTCTTACTATGACAAGAGCATTCCAAACCCAAAACTTATCTCAGCTTCATTTCATGGCAAGCACTCCTCTCCTAACAACTCCTTGGCCACCAGTGTCTCTTAGCTGCTTTACCAGTCCTCATGCCCCACAGCTCCCTCTGAATCTACACACCCAGATTGTGTGCTCTGCTTTTAGCTCCTGCTGCCAACTTCTCATGGTGGTGGCATCAGGTTCAAAATCTAGAGGAAATATATCTGATTGGTTCACCTGTCCACTGTCCAGTGGGCAGTGATCAGTGTTGCCTCAGCCCATCCTTTCAAACGGGCTGAGAGCCCAGGCATAGCAGCTACCTGAGAAACATCTATCTACATCCTTTCTTGTACCACACATAGTCTTGGCCTTTGTGTCTTTCAGCAACTTCATCTAGGTCTCCCACCACTCACAGCCCACCCTGTTCACTCCAGACTTTCACGACCAACACAGCGACCATGTTGCTCTCTCTCATTCAGACCCTTGCAGATGACCCCTGCCAAGCCTGGAGGCACAAGCTGCTGTGCCTTTTCTTTTGTCCTCCTCCTAGGATGCCTCAGTGCTCTCCATGATTCCAGCACTGGGCCCAAGCCTCAAAGTGCTGGACTTGTCCTCCTGTGTGGCCCTCACTAACCAGACCATGCAGGCCATCTGTACCTACCTTGTTCACCTGTCAGTCCTGCGCCTGGCTTGGTGCAAGGAGCTCCAGGACTGGGGGCTTTTGGGGGAGAAGGAGCCAAGTGAGGAGCCTATGCTAAGTCCCCAGGTATGAGAGATCCTTGAAATTAGGGAGGGTGAGATGACCTTGGTCTCTGCTGCCCTCTGCACTTCCTGAATCTTTAGCAGAACTTATGAAGAACCTGAGAAGCAGTGGTTTCTTCCCACAGCTACCCCAAGAGGTGGAAAATCAGGCCTCAGACCCTCAAGAGCCTAATTCTGAGTCACAGGGCCCCTCCCTGCTCATGCTTCAGGCCCTGCAGGAGTTGGACCTCACAGCCTGCAGCAAACTGACTGATGCCAGTTTGGCCAAGGTGTGAATAAGCTGAGGACACTGGGGCTGGTGCTTGGGGATTGGGCCAACCCACTTTGTTCTTGGAGTCCCTTTCTCTTTGGTTTCTGGTAGAAGCAAGGAACCTGGAAGGGGCCCAGGCTCTGTGTCCCAATGCCATTCTATATCCCTATTGCAGGTGCTCCAGTTCCCTCAGCTGAGGCAGTTATCATTGAGCCTACTGCCAGCACTCACAGACTTGGGCTTGGTAGCTGTGGCTAGGGGCTGTCCCAGCCTGGAGCGCTTGGCACTGAGTCACTGCAGCCACCTCAGTGATGAGGGATGGGCCCAGGCAGCCAGGTTCTGGCCAAGGCTGCAACACCTCAACCTGTCCTGTTGCAGCCAGCTCACAGAGCAGTGAGTGTTTGATGGCATTACACTGAGCCACAACGCACGGGCTGGGCTTGGGTCTTACACTCACTGGTTCAGGCACTCATGCTATGGCCTCCTTGCAGAACTCTGGATACCATTGGGCAGGCATGCAAACAGCTTCGAGTGTTGGATGTGGCCATGTGTCCTGGTATCAACGTGGCAGCTGTCAGGCACTTTCAAGCACAGCTGCCTCAGGTGACCTGCATCCAGTCCCGCTTTGTGGGAGGGGCTGACCTGACCCTAACGCTTTGAGCCAGGTCAGTAACTATCCCTGAAGCTCATCTTCCTTCACCAGTATAGCCCTAGCCCAGGCCTCTGGACCTGAGTTTGCCCTAGTGCCTTCCCCTGCTCTAGAACCTTTTCTAAGACTCAGGATGGGACCATTCCAGGATGCTTGCAGCCCCAGTGTACCCTACAGATGGCAGCAACCTCTTTCCAGCTACACGTTGGCTGCCATGGGCCCTGCTCACAGAGGAGCTGGGCCCGATGCTGGGGAGGGCCACTCTGTGCCTCCTGCCAGCCTGCTACTCAGACCTAAAGCCTTTGTTCTGCCTGCTCCCAGGGGGTCTCCACCCCTCCTGAGCTTTAGCAGTCAATCCATCAACTTCATTGTAAACCAAACAAGATTAAAAGTTCCAGATTTATGTCTTCCTCTGATGTTCTCAGACTAAGGGGTCTCTCCCTTCTCCATCTCAGTTAACACAGAGAACCTCAGATGCCCCCACACTGACTCAATTAGGTCCTGGCTTCCTCCACATAGATTTTGGAGGCCTTTCCCAGCACAACCCTTCTGGACATGCCCTGCTGCAAAGGCACTGGTCCTAACCAGACTTGGGAACAACTGTTTAGCAGATTCATGTACTGTCTTGGGGTAGGGTAAGAAATAAGACAGCATCTCTGAGTAGGAGGGTCCTAAGTGGTCATATAGTCCAAACCCTCTGAACAATGCCAGTGCCTTCTCAATAGCAGCTCTGAGGTAGTCTATCCAGTGATCCTCTTGTGTGTCCCCATGCCTTGTCTGTCTGTTTATTAGTTCTAGAAGCAGCTAGCCAGTGCTGAGTACCTGCAGCCACTGTGCTTCAGGTTGGAATTCAGAAATGCCATTGTTCTCCCAATCACCAAACTCCATAGGGAGGCAAATAAGCCAGTAGACAGAACAGTCTGGTATGCAGGGGATGTATGAACAGAGAATTAGCACCCGGGGCAAGGAACCTAGGGCAGCAATGAATTTAGAGGGTCAAGGAAGGCATCAAGGCAGTGAAAATGGCAGAAGAGGGCATAGAGGTCGGATGGACAGACTGGAGCTGGTTCTGGTATGGAGGGGTATGTGTAGGCCCTGATAGGGTACAGGGAGGATGCTGGCTTGACAACAGGAACCTTGAAGACCAAATGGAAGGACTAAAACATGTCTGTGCAACTTACCAGCTTAACTCGGTATTCAACCGTGGTAACCATAGTAATAGAACAGTAGTGAGATACTGAACAATATAGGATGTGTCTTAGTTATTGTTATGTTGCTGTGGTGAAATACTGTGACCAAGGCACTTATAAAGGGAGGAATTTAATTGGGGGCTTGCTTATAGTTGCAGAAGGTTAGTCCATGACCATCATGGTGGGGAGCAGTAGCTAAGAGCTTACATCCTGATCCATAGGCAGCAGTCAAAGAGAGAACTAGACTACCTGGTGTGGGCTTTTGAAGCCTCAAAAGCCCATTCCCAGTGCATACCTCCTCCAAGGGTACACCTACTAATCCTTTCCAATCAGTTCCACTAACTGGGACCAAGCATTCTGATATATGAGCCTATGGGGGTCATTTCTCATTCAAACCACCATAGGGTATATGTATGAGTATGTAATCACATTAAATTTGTAGTGTTGGAGTGGCAGCTACTGAAATGATCAGAGGAACAAGACTAGAAGCCAGAAGTTAGGGGGCTTTGCCAGGATGGTGGTAGCATGGACAAGTAATGAAGATACTGAGAATTGACTGTACTGGGACACTAACTGCAACTAGGACCTCTACCCTCCGTTTCCACCTTAAACTCAAAAGTCTGTTCTAAGTGTAGTAGCAAGGCTTTGTGTCCAAGTATGGACACTCTGAAGATTGGAAGTGTAGTCAGGTTTTTTGTTTTTGTTTTTGTTTTGAGGGGCCAAGTGTTTTGCTAGCACTTTCTCCAAAGGAAATGCCATTTAATCAATTTTAAGGCACAGCATTGATGAATAGCATGTTAAACACAGTATTTGAGGAGTAATGAATGGTTTATAGAAGTTACTCAGGATAGTGGTAGCTTTCAGCCTACCCTGTGGGGCCCCTGGATTGCTGAATTATTTGTCTTAGGGGCCTGGAGTTTGTGACTGTTGCCTCCAACTGGACCCACCTTGTCTCAGCACTTCTGCCCCACAGACTCTGGCTTGTCTGTGATCACCACCTCACATACGATCGTGAGTTAGATCGTAATTCTCTTGTGCAGATCTACCCCTTTGGAGCTGACAGCCTTCTCCGCAGCTTTGCATCTCTCCCTCATGCCTCTCTCTCACCAAAGGTCTCTGCATCCCATGGAGGACAAGGGCCAGGGCCAAGCAAGGTTGGGAAATGAGGGCAGACTACCAGGAGCCTCGGAAGCGCGGCTTCCAGACAGACCCCTGTTGCTGAGGCCCAGGACCGTGTCCATTTGGGGCAATGTGTCCAGCCCTGCTGCTTCTCTTGGCAGTTGGCTGACATGCCAATCTCTTCTTTGGCTGCTACTTCAAATGACAGGTCAGCCCTCTCTTCATGTCCAGAACTGACAACGCTAAGGACTTATTTCAAGAAGGGCAATAGTCCCTACCTGTCTCCACCCAACACCAGCCTTCCAAAGGCAGTAAGCTGTCCAAGTGTATGGTCCTACCTGGTGCCCTTACGTCATTTACTACGTTTGAAGACATGTCCATGTTTATCAACAGGCTTAGCCCACAGGTTCAGAGCTGATTTGACACGTATCTATGAGCCAAGCCAACTTTATTTCTGCTAGAGGCTCTGCTGGTCAGGTTGTCTGTGCTTTTCATCCCTCTTTGTGGCTGCTACAGCAGCACCAGTTGTGGCCCATGGCCAACTTCAGTCAAGGCTCAGTGATGCTGAAGTCATAGCAGAAGTTAAAGTTGGTAGGGGGTGGGGGTACTGGGGGAGGCTGCTCGGGAATGGGCACATTCTCCAGTTCCAACAAGCGCAACTTGGTCTCCATAGTAAGCAGCTGTTCCAGGTCTAGCCGAGTCTGCTCACTGCCCATGGTGCTGCCCAGCAGGGCACTCAGCCCATCTGTCCACAGGTAGAACTAGAGATGGACAGGGCCAACTCTGAGTGTCTGCTTATCGGTTCCCCCTGCCCATCTGCCCAACAGCCCAGCCCAGAAACTTACATCCCGTTTGGAAGGGGCAATGAAGTTGAGGTATGCTTCTTCCTCCCCATGGTCATAGCTGATGGAGAAAGCTAACTCATAGAGGTCCTAGGAAAGTGGGAGCAAGAACACTGAGTAGGGAACAGGAACAGGCAGACAGGAATAGGAGGGGCGAAGCCTCTGACCCTACCGCAGTCACCTTGTTCTGCTTCCCAGAACCCTTCTCCCGGACATGGGGGCAGTCCTTGCCCATTAGGAGTGCCCTGATGTCTGCCACAGGGACTGTAGAGAGAAGATTTGGCTGACCACTGTGGCCCAAGGCTGACCTAAGATATGGGGCATCTGGGGATAGGGAGAACAGGTGTAGGAGCCCAACCCTGCCCTCCTCACGCTGCTCAGGTAGACTCTCTAGGGTGGGTGGGTTGGCACCCTCTTCCACATCCCCATACTGCAGCACTTTGTGGTTGGGGGATAAACAGCAGAACCACAGCTTGTCTGCCGAAAAGGGAAGAGAACAGTGATGAGAGGGACTCTAAACCCTAATACCCCCACACAACACCTTTAGCCCATTCAGAGACCCTGGCGTCTCCGGCTGCTGATCTTGCGGAAGAGCATCCCCTCACAGAGTCGGAGCAAACGCTGCTGGCGGATCAGGCCCATGAGCTCTGGCTTCAACTTCTCCCGCAACTCCCTGGATGGAGAGTGGGAGTCATTAAGCAGGGCTGACCTGGAGCCTGGTCCACAGGGCACTGGGGAGGTGGGGACTGAGACTGGAACCCTACCAACTCACAGTATAGGAGGGGCCAGAGTGCCCTCCTGGTGCAGCCGTTCTGTCTGTCGCAGCCTCAACACTTCCCCATAGGTGAGAGCATTCACTTTGGTTCGGAAGAGCTCCAGAGAGGTGGGCTTCAGAGCCAGCGTCCGGGCTAGCTGCTCCCGAACCACCTGCATTACCTAGGACCACCGAAGCTCGGTGTAGGACCTGTGTTCAGGACCCCTTTCCAGAAAGGGCCCCTGGCCTCCTGCTTCCACCCCACCCACCTTGTCAAAATCCTCCCGTGTTGCCCGCATTTCCTTCCAGGTCTTATTCAGCAGCTGGATAGCCACACAGAAGAGCTCATGGAAACTATGGTCTTGGCTGAAGAACATGGGTGAGAAGTCCTGGGCTGTCTCGGAGCCTGGAGCGGGGGGGCAGGAGGGGCTCAGGGAGAAAGTGTCTACAGCCCCTGGCCCTCTCTGCCCTTCCGTCCCCTGACCCCAAATACACTGGATCTAGTTCAACTCACAAGGCTCCCCAACATGGAGCAGCTCACACAGCAACACTGTCAGCTGGATGCTGCTCTGGGCAAAGGGGCACTCATGCTTGTCCTCTCGGCTACTGTTCTCCAACACGAACTAAGGCAGTGGGAATAGAGGATGGCAACAGGACTCCATGGAGACCCTGAAGGGTGAGCTGCTGCTGCCATCCCCGCTTGCCCCAGTCTGTTACTAACCCGACTGTATGCACTGGGCGCATGCCTGGAGAAGTAGAGCATGTTGTCCAGGGCCAGCAGGCCTGGGGGCACACGCTCCAGGTCCTGGGCTGGATTGCTGTTCTAGAGATGGGAACACAGACAGCTCAGGAAGGGCCACAGTCCTAGAATAACTAGCCTGGGTGGAGGTTTGGGTGGGAACTAAGGTCGGGGTCACTCACAGAGAAGCCTAGCTTTCGGAACTCTCGGACACAGAGAGAACGGCGGCGATCAGCACTCAGTCCTGTGCCCAAGGACTCCCCCTCTGGTTCAAAGGCTGCCTGGCGCAGGGCCTGCAGCTGCTCCCGCTGTTCCTGAAGTCAATGGGGAGGAGCATGTCAAGATCATAGATTCAAAACAAAATTCTAGGTAACCCTCCAGCCTTTGTACCTCTGTGCACCTGGCTGTAGGGGTCAAGTGGTGTCCGCATCCGTGGCTCCAGCAACCCCAGTGTAAGAGCCTGCAGCACATACAAGTGGTGAGCCATCTCATCGCCCATGGGAGCCGCACTGTGGATGATATTCTGGAAAACAGCCAGGCTTGAATAAGACTCACTGGGAAAGGAGGACTGGGGAGAAGGTCTCCCTGGCCTGGTCCATCCTACCTTGTAGATGAACTGGCGAAGATTCCTCTGCCATAGGTAGTCAAGCATATGCTGCAGTGGGCGAGAAGGGGTTTCAATGATTTTGCTCTTAGCTGGAATACAGCACCCACCAGCTGCTCTTCTTCATTCGGTCACCCTGGACAGAAACACTCACCTTCCGTTCAGCAGGGCTGGCCCCCTGCAGCAGGGCTGTCAGCAAAGCCATAGCCTTGGTTTGCAGCTGCTGGTTCATTCTACGGCAAGAGGAGGAACAGGCTCAGCCGTGCATCTCGAGGCCAGTTCTGCATGTCCCCATTCCCACTGTGCCCTAGAGGCTTACACCTGCAGGTGCACCAGCAGCCTATCCAGTGGCACCTCACTCTTCACCAGCTGGCCCAGGGCAGGGCTGCTCAAAGTCACACTCTCCAGCAGCCTGAGGGCTAAGGGCTGCACAGAGGCATCCATCAGGTTCATGTTCACATAAGATACCACCTGTAAGGGACAGAGGGTGTCATTACCATTCACAGGGGCTAGATGTGGGCACTGCTCCACTGCCCCTGGAAGAGAACACACACCTTCCTGACAAAGGGGATGCTGAGTGTCTCCCAGGACACCACGCCGTGTTCCATGAGCTCCAAGAAAGCCCTTAGACCAAGGGCCAGCATCTCCCCTAGGCTACAAAGAATACCTGGGGATGAGTAGGATCAGACCAAGATTCCTAAGCCCTGCTATGTCACCCAGCCCACCACAGACGGCCCTGTGCTCACTCATCCCCATTTTCAATGATGGCGCTTAGTCTCTGAAGCCCATCACGGCTGATGACCTCCTGGGCAAAGGTCATGTCTGAGGCCAGCAGGACCAGGTTTTTCAGGGCTTGATAGCACCCTTCACGACTTGTACTCTGCAACCCACCCAGCAGCTGCTGGGCCTCCAGGTCCTAGCAGGAGCAGTAAAGAGATGAAGTGGTTAGACTAGAATGTTACTGGAACTGCAAGTGTGATGGCCTGGGTGTCCACTAGGTGGGGCACTAAGGAGCTGGGGCCTCCAGACCCGAGGCAGAAGCCACTAGGCAGGCAGCAAAGGGACCCAGCAGAGGGGGAGGAGAGGAGAGGGCTGAAAGGGGCATTACTGGGGCAGTGCTGAGGCACAGGATGCTTCCATTCTTGATCTCCGTGCGGTTCTGGAGGAAACAGCAGAAAGGAGCAAAGTTAAAGAGGGCTCTAGGAAATGGTCAACCGGATCATCTGTTGGGGGGTCAGTAAAAGAACTCACATTCGGAGCAGTGAGAATAAATATATTGAATTAAAGCCAGGTGGGTTAAAGGGGCCCTGTGCAGTGTGGGTCTGGGAGGGGGCTCACATTCTCTGTGATGAATCTCTTGTGCCCATCAGCAAACTTCAGGGCATAGCGCTCGGAGTCAGTCACGTTCCACCTGTGGGACAGGAAGCTCAGCGAGCGAAGTCCAGGGTCACCTCTCCCACCTGTCCCTGCCCTTCTCCCACTTTTGCCTATTCTTACTTACACATCACACACCTCCTTCAGCACAGTGGCCAGGGGCTTTGCCTGCAAGTGGAGTTGTCACTGAAGGCGTTAGGGTAAGGAGTTGGGATGAGGGACTTCTAAGAGGGGTGGGTTGGGCTAGCCCGAGGGAAGAGGAACAATCCAGAAGTGGGAGGGGGAGTTCGGACAGTCCCGTTGACCTGGTCTAGCTGGATAAGCTGTGGGATGGCGTCAGACTTCTGAACGGCGATCTTCACCACGTTCCTTGGGGGCGCCATAGTCCTGCCGCTGTGACCGTCGGCACTTTGCACAACTGTGCCACCTCCCGCCGAGGGTGCACCTCGTCTGGGGCTAGGTCCTCCCTCTGTCTAAAGCCTGGCCCCGGGGGCCTGCACTCACAGTTCAGGTTACCACTGGGCTCCAAGGCCTTCCTAAAGGAGCCTGTTAGTTCCGGGTTAATCTCAGGGGTAGGAGGGTAGGACCCAGCCTGCCCTGACCCGTTCCGCCCCACTGAGAAGGCCTGGCCCCGCCCACGCCAAGGTGCAGCCGGTGAAGACTGGGAGGGCAGGCATCCTACACAGCGGCCACACCTCCCATTCCAGTAAGGTGACCCACCCAGTTGCAACAACCCAGCAGTCCCAGGGAGGAGCCCCAAAGAAACAGATCAGAGATAGCCTTAGGCATGTCTTTATTCACTTGGATGCTGTACAAATATTACAATTTCCTTTTGCTGAAAAAAGTATAAAAATAATCTTTATATAGGAATCCATTCGTTACTGTAAATCTTTCTAAATCTCTGCAAATGGCTCTAAATGAGGGTAAGTGAATAAACGGAAGTGAAGGGAGTGAGTATGGGGTATCAGGAGGTTGGGCCACTCTTCAGGGACTAGCCCACCCAAATTCCTAGCTAGACACATCAATTCCTTCTTATTAACCCCCTCCACCATGGCCATCCCCAAGTTCCAGGTCTCAGGGCATGGCAGAAAGGGGACACATGAGAAGTCCAGAAGCTGCAGGGTGAGGCGGTGGGAAAGGAAGTTAGGGTGGTAGCTAGCAACTACCCAGCTTCACCCCTTTCCCTCCTTAGGAGAAGAGTGGCTGGTAGGAACAGGACAGCTGTGCCACTGGGTGGCAGCTGGGCCTGGCTGGGGAAGGCTTCAGAAGAGAAAAGGCAAACACTTTGGGCTCCACGTAGAGAGGGCTAAGCTCTCTCCCCTGCTCTGCTAGCACAGTACAAGTGTCAGTGCAAGACAGGGTAGCATGGCCAGAACTGAGCAACTGGGGAAGGCTGAGTAAGCCGAGAGTCAGGGGCTCTCAAGCTGGGGGTGGGGGTTGGGGGCAATCCCTAGTTGGCTCCCAGCCCAGACAGTGTGGGTTGCAGCTGCACAGGACATGCCCCTGTGGTCAGAGGTTGAGAACAGGAACATCAAAAAGATCACAGACACCTTCACTCTCGTCCAGGTTGTAGATGTAATCGTGGTCTCCAGGGGGTGGAGAAAGTCGGAGGAGGGGGGCAAACACTGCAGAAAGCATTAGGCTGTCTTAGGCCAAAACCCCCAGCAGCCACCCACCCCCGCTAAAGCTCTCCCCATCTTCCTGGGCTACATACCTTCTGAAGACATCAATTCCTCCAGCAGCTCAGAGCTCATGCACTCTGGGAATGAACACAATTTACTCAGATTCTGACTCTCACCTCTCCACCCACCAAAGCCCATGAAAACCCATTAGAAGCCTCATCCTTTTTCTGGGATACCCAGTACAACACGATCCTTAGAAGGGAACTCAAAAATTATGTTCCTTACTCCCTACATCCATTCCAAAGGAGGAACACAGCCTACCTCGTGTGGGGTCGAAGATTTCTGACAGCTCTTTGGGGAGATCCAGAACTGAAAGAGAAGAAAGCTAAGCTCAAAGGAGGTTTAGCTGGGTCCCACTATAGTCCACCTTTCAGGTCATCTACCATTAAGCCCCAGGGTTCCACACAGCTGAGGAAATGTTGGCCCTACCTGAAGTATAGGTGTCTTGTCTGCTGACCTAAATTCCTCAGTGCTGAGCCAAGGCTACCAAAGGCCCACAGCAGGTGACAAGTATAGCCATTCCAACTTAGAGACACTGCAAAACTCCAATCCCATTCTGATCTGGGGGTGCACACCTTCTCTGACAGAAGATGTCCTGTCCACCCCAGCCCTTCCTGGGTACCTACTCTGGCCTTTGGCCAGTGTGATGAACCTACTACAAACCTCTGATTAGGAGGACACACATGGAAAGCAGACCATGATGGGGTGTTGTACATGCAGGGCTCAGAAGTTCAGATTTAGGGCTGGAGAGATGGCTTAGTGGTAAGAGTGTTTCCTGATCTTCAGAGGACCTGAGTTTGGTACCCACACCAGGCAGCTCACAACCATCTGTAATTCCAGTTCCATTCACATACACTTTTTTTTGTTTGTTTGTTTTGTTTTGTTTTGAGACAGGGTTTCTCTCTATAGTCCTGGCTCTCCTGGAACTCACTCTGTAGACCAGGCTGTCCTCAAGCTCATAGAGATCCACCTGCCTCTGCCTCCCGAGTGCTACAATTAAAGGTGTGCGCCACCAACGCCCAGCGTACAATAATTTCTAAAAGTTCAGATTTTGGGAGGCCAGTGAGATAACTCAGTGGGTGCAAGTGCTTGTCTTAAAGCCTGACATCCTAACTCCAATCCCTGGAGCCCACATTACGGAGGATAAAAAGAACCAATTTCAGCCGGCGGCGGTGGTGGCACACGCCTTTAATCCCAGCACTCGGAGGCAGAGGCAGGTGGATCTCTGTGAGTTCGAGGCCAGCCTGGTCTACAGAGCGAGATCCAGGACAGGCACCAAAACTACACAAAGAAACCCTGTCCCAAAAAACCAAAAAAGAAAAAGAAAAAAAAAAAAGAACCAATTTCATGGAACAGTGCATATGCACAATTTCTCCATCCCCCAATACTTTTTGTTTCTGGTGATTGAACACGTCTTCACACAGGCTTAGCAGGCATTCTACCACTGAGCAGGATCCCAGGCCATATTTATAAACTGAGATAGTCAGGATTGCATTGCAGACAGGTCATTCCATTGGTAATACCAACCTACCAGGCAATAGTGGCATAACTGGTACAAGGGTAACCAAGATCCTTTTGCTTAGATTTGAGGCCAGTTCCACAGGAAGTAATTCATGCCTGATACTGTAAACCTTGCCAAAGACCCACAGCTGAGGAGATCATAGACCCCAGGGGAGGAACTTACTTCGATTGCTTTGCTAAATAGGTATACCATCAAACCATGTCCTCAATTTTTTTTTTTCAAGACAGGGTTTCTCTGTGTAGCTTTGCGCCTTTCCTGGAACTAGCTTTGTAGACCAGGCTGGCCTTGAACTCACAGAGATACGCTTGCCTCTGCCTCCTGAGTGCTGGGACTAAAGGCGTGCACCACCACTGCCTGGCCTTTTTTTGGTTTTTCGAGACAGGGTTTCTCTGTGTAGTTTTGGTGCTTGTCTTGGACCTCTCTGTAGACCAGGCTGGCCTCGAACTCACAGAGATCCACCTGGCTCTGCCTCCCAGGTGCTGGGACTAAAGGCTCAGGCCTAAATTTTATGTTTATATGTTGATCAGAGAAAATAGGCAGCAGTAGTCAATGCAGAAATTCATAGCTGATCAAAGTGCTGAGAATAAGTTGAGTGCTCAGTCTAAGGCTCAGGGAACAGTGCTGAAGAGGTATGGAAAGAAAGTATAAGCCAAAAAAAAAAAAAAAAAAAAAAAAAGTACAAGCCATAGGTTGGGAATGTTGTCTTTTGGGTATAACATTGCCATTATACTCATGAATTTACAAGCAGCTATGGTTACCTACAGAAGACCAAGCCAGCCAACTAGCTGGGAAAGGGAGAGTCATTTTTCTTTGGATCTGTGCTTGCATGTAGTACTAATTAGAATGAATGGGTTATAAAAAAGAGATGATGCTGGGCGGTGGTAGTGCACTCCTTTAGTCCCAGCATTCGGAAGGCAGAGGCAGGCAGATCTCTGTGAGTTTGAGGCCAGCCTGGGCTACAGAGTGAGTTCCAGGAAAGGTGCCAAAGCTACACAGAGAAATCCTGTCTCAAAAAACAAACAAACAAAAAGAGATGAAGATGGAAGAAAAGTACTAGGAGGGTGAAGGGGAGATCTGGGTTGTAAATGATCAAACTATTTAGAGCTGGGTGTGGTGGCACACACCTTTAATCCCAGGGCTCAGGAGGCAGAGGCCAGCCTGGTCTACATAGCAAGTTCCAGGACAGCCATGGCTACATGGGTAACCTGTCTCAAAAAGACAATAAAAAAATCCACATTGTATACATGTATGAAATTACAAAAATAAAAAAGCTTTAAAGGAAAGGATGACTATAAATCTAGAATAATTAAGATGCTCATAGTTATCTGGAGTGCTGAGGATGAAAGAGGGATGAGAAGAGATGCTTCACAGACTCTGCTTGGCGAGTGTAAGGTGGGCAGCAGAGGGATCAAGAACTGAGGTGACAGAGGTGTCTCAAGCCCGGTGACTAGGGCCAGTGATAAAGAGTTGAAAATCAAACTGGGAGCAGGGTGGACAAGTTCAGTTGAAGACACGCAGGAATGAGGTGTCCACCAGGGAAACAGAAGATGGATGTCAGACAGAGATGTGGAGACTGGGTGAAATACCTAGACTACGTAGAGGCTGAAGCCCATTATCCCTAGAGCTGAGGCTCTCCCCGGGTGTGATATGGGAAGTACCAACATTTAAGCCAAGAGCTGAGAGTAAAGACAAAGGAGGAAAGAACTTCAGCGGGGACCAAGAAAGCACCAGACCTATACCTAACTTCAGGAACCTGTTGGGCTAGGGGCTGCACCAAGAGCTACATCGGGGAGGGGTGGTGTGTGTATGTGTGTGTGTGTGTGTGTGTGTGTGTGTGTGTGTGTGTGTGTGTGTGTGTGAGAACATGGATTACTTTTTAAAGGCATCTAGACATAGAAAGGAAACAAGAATGGTAAGGTGAGTACAAAGGGTAACAAATCTCAACTAGTGAGGCTCTGTGATGTTCCAAATGGTGGCAGATGGGAACTGAAGTTCTAGGAAGGGGGCAAAAGGCACCAGCACTGACCCTGAGACTAGACACCCTTGCCTGGCTGCAGAGAACAGGGTTAACAGAAAAGGCACTTTCCAGCTATGTGCTTGACAGAGCATTGGGCTGGCTTTCCCTGCTGGCCCCCACCACTCAGTAAGCACTCACCACCTGGGGGGTCTGCCTTGATGGGCTCAAAGGAGGTAGAAGGGTTGGGTCCAGATGAACTGCTGCTGCTGCTGCTGCTGCTACTGCTGCTGCTGCTGCTGCTGCTGCTGCTGCTGCTGCTGTCCAGGAGGGCAGAAGACTGCAGAGGCCGAGTGTCCAGTGCTGTCAGGCCTAGCGGGAGTGAGCTGAGCTCACCACCATCCTTGTTTTCAGTTCCAGGGCCACCACTCACTGCAACCACATTCCCAAACCCAATCACATGGAGTCAGGAAATGGATCCTAGAACTTGGCCAGGATGACCACATGCTGGTACCCAAGCCCAAGGAGAAGTAGCCACCACCAGTTACCAAGGAGCAATCTAGAAAAGATCACTGAAGATGGAGCACAAGTCCTGAGGAGGGAGACTCTGGGGTTGCCAGGAGCCATTAGATACTGTCCAATTTGGGATAAACTTCCCTAATAATGCTCCATACAGTCAAAGCTTCCTTGTTAGAAAGGGCATATTCATGGCAAGCGAGATGGCCAGTGAGTAAAGACACTTGTGGCCAAACCTGATGACCTGAGTTTGATCCCCAGAACCCATATTAAAGGAGAGAACCGAGCTGGAGAGGTTCAGAGCTCAGAGGTTGAGAGCACTGACTGCTCTTCCAGAGGTCCTGAGTTCAATTCCCAGCAACCACATGGTGGCTCACAGCCATCTATAGTGAGATCTGGTGCCCTCTTCTGGCCTGCAGGCATACACACAGGCAGAACACTATGTAATTATGTAATAAATAAAACTTTAAAAAAAAAAAAAAGCCAAGTGGTGGATCTCTGTGAGTTCCAGGACAGGCACCAAAACTACACAGAGAAATCCTGTCTCGAAAAACAAACAAACAAACAAAAAGGAGAGAACCAATCTCTTCAAGTTGTCATCTGACCTCTTCTGACCTCCACATGAATGTCGTGGCATGCCTCCCCCTCACAAATAAATAAAGGAAAAACATAATTTAAAAGGGCACATTCACTGTGACACCAAGGAAAGCTAGGCAGGGACCCAGCAGCCATTGCCAATTCTTAGTCCAGCACTCCCTAACACAGGCACCTTCTTGTGGTCTCCGGAAAACAACCCATCACATCGTACCGTGGTGTCTCACCTGCAATCTCAGCTGTCTGGCCTGCCACCCCTGAGACTTCACTGCTGCCAAGGACAGGAGTGGGGACAGTTAGCTGGGGACTGCATGGACGAGAGGTTTCTTGGGGTTGAGCTAAGGCAGGCTTGGGCAGAGGTGGAGGGGTAGAAACAGCAGGTGGACTCTGGAGCAGATCCTCAGGGGGAGGTACAGGCACAGCCACAGGTGGTGAACTCCATGCCTCCTTGTTCACGAGCAGCACCTCGATGGGGCCACTCATGCTCTTCAAGTGAATCTGGTACTTCTTCTGACCATTGAGACCCTGGAGGTGGGCGCAAAGTAGAATTGCAAGCAGGCAAGGCTCCCGCCTGACTTTGGGTGAGAGCCAGACTCTCATCCCACTCCTCGGCTGCCAATCCACCCAGATAACCCCTAACTCCAGGCCTCCCCCTACCTGCCCCACCCAGAACTTATCAAGCTCCACAGCCAGTATCCGCCCTCGGCTGACACCGCCTTCCAGGGATGAGCACCTACCTCTGGGATGGGCACCTCTAGGCTGGTGCCCGATGGGGCCCGGATGGCAAGGAGGGTGTCTCCTAGAATGACAGGGAGAATGGGTCAGGGCCTGTGAGCTCATTCTGAGCTAGGACAGGAAGTGTCTGTTCACTGGAGCAGGACAAGAGACCATAGTCCCTAAGAGACTGACTATTAAGCCTCTACCATCCCAGAGTGCTAGGTAGAGCTAAAACTCTTCTCTCCCCAAAAACTTATGCTCAGTAACCAGAAAATCCAGTACAAACACACTTTTTTTCTTTTTTTTGAGTCTTTTTTGTTTGTTTTTTCAAGACAGGGTTTCTTTGTGTAACAGCTCTGGCTGTCCTGGAACTTGCAGTGTATACCAGGCTGACTTCAAACTCAGACATCTTCCCTCCTCTGCCTCCCAAGTGCCAGGATTAAAGTATAATCACATTCTGGAGTGAGGTCACTGGCCACAGGTAGCACCTAGCTCCTCAAATGACGTTGATCCCTAGAAACAGATCTAAGTTTTCCCAAGACCAAGATACAAGATGGAATATAAGAAGGAACAGTTCCTATATACACTAACTACAGATTAGAAATGGACACCACTGACCCCACCCCACCCTTGGAATACAAGTATGAAAGATTGTGCACAAACATACACATTCTCCCTTTTCCTCTATCATATCTAAGAACTAAACCCAGGGACACACTGGGACCCTTGTACCCTCAGTATTGTTGGTCTCTACAGAGTTCCAGTGACTTTTATACTGAGACTCTGCCTGGTTTCTCTTTAAGCGGGCATCAGGAGCCCTGTTAGGAGATGGAACTTCTCCTTGAGCACTGAACCTGATGCTCAGGTCTCTGTTGCTTAGCTCAGTCCCACCTCCATCTCCCCCTCCCCAGGCTCTGCTCACCAGCAAAGCATCTGCAGATGTCTTCATGAGTCACGTAGGCCAAGGTGTGAGGGTTAAGGAGAACAGCTGATGCCTTTCTTATTGTGCCAGATGGCAGACCACAGAAGACCCAGTGTTTTAGCAGATGTCTGACACACAAGCCCTCAGAAGCTGTTCTGGAACCTGGGGTCCAAGTGGGTAAGGATCATGGGCTAAGATCGGAAGAGAAGGGAGCCTCAAGTCTGAATCTGACCAGGGGCTGCAGGATCATTCTCCCAAGAGGGACAGGGCCCAAAGCTCCATAGAGCAAAGCCAGCTGAGGACCCCTTGCCCACTCCCCAGAGCAGGGACTGCCAGAGGATATCAGCTGTTCTGGACGTCCTCTGTGACATTCCGGATGCTCTGTTGCACCCACACCTTGTGCTGGTCAAGTTCTTGCTCTCGCTGCTGCAGCTCCTCGATCTCTGCCTTGAGTTCAATCAGCTTGTCGGCAATTTCCCGGGTATTGCAACCTGGCCCCACACCCCTGAACCGGAGGAATGAGAGACTGAGAGGGACTGCTGACAACTCTGGGTCTCTCCTACAACCATCATCCCACCCCCCACACTTCTGCCCTCTCTAACGTCCATCCCTACTCACTTCCACTGGATGCTGTTCTTGGATTTTTTCTCGATCAGACCAATACCTTCCAACACGTTGGTGATGTCGTAAATCCGCCGTTTCTGGCGCACAGCTAGAGTGTCGGCTGCCTGGTAAGTATAAGAGAATGGAGAACGCTAGTCCCACTCTTACGTGTGTACCCTGATACCTTTAGTCTGGAATGGGGGTAAGTCTTGCGTCCCTCCCCTGGAGTTCCTTCCAGTCACTCCAGCAGCGTGTTGGGAAAAGTCCTGGCTTAGTTGTGTTCTGGTATTCTGATGCTCGTTTCCCTGTGCTAGCCACGAAGGGCCACGAGGGCCGGCCGGCACCTGCAGCCCCGACTCAGAGCTGACGCTCCCTGGCTTGAGTGAATGAAAAGAGCCTCCCGCCTCTCTCGGGTGAGAAGGCACACGGATGGCGCCCGGCTGCTGGAGGACCTGGCGGGGCAGCCCCAGTGGTTCCCGCGACTGGTCCAGGCCTGGTCCAGCATCTCCCCTGTCGCCCCCTCAGCCCGGGCCGCACCAGCTTGAGGTCAAGCACGCCGTCCTTGGCTTCCTGCAGAAGCGACACGAACTTGGTGGTGAGAAGTCCCAGACTCTTCTCGTGCCTGCTTGGAGTACCCGGGGGCGGTGGCGCCTGTGGCCCGGCCTCCGCCATCGCGCCCGCCCGCCTCCCCTCAGCCAGGCCAGGCCAGGCCGGCGGCGGCGCCACTTCCGCTTCCGTTCTTAGTCGCCGGGCCACCGGAGCTATCACGGCTGCTTCCGCTTCCGTCTCGCGCCCTCCCAGGGTATCTGGTGCAATTCCTGTCTGCAGATCTGAACGTAAAACTTCGGGGACCATCAGCAAATGTACCATTAGCAAAGAAGACGAAAGCAACCCCTAGGACAGCTAGTTGACCTAACAAATTGTATAGAAGGAAGTGGGGGTGGGGGAATGTCAGTGAGCAGACCCGGCAGTAGAGAAGAGGGAGCCACCCACATCTTCCTTGCTAACTTGCCTCCAAACTACTAGCTGCCCGACCCCCGCACCCCGAATCTAGGGAAGGGAAGCCATACTACACAGCCTATTAACATACAACTGCTCCTGAAGGCTTCCTTGCTGTTTTGAGATCGTCCTTGCCTTCTTTGCTTCTTGCCAGACCAGCAAGCACTAACTATATCTAGCTTGCCCACTTCTTCCATCTCCGAGACTCCTCTTTAGTTCCAGCATCGTTTTCCTCTGGCCTCCATGCCACATACAGTTCACAGAGGACAGAGTCTCATTTACAACCACTTCTCAGTCCATGTACACATATGCGTGATTATAAGCAAAGCCTTTAAGGCAGTTCTTGACATATAGAAAGGACTGTGTGTTTGTAACCCTCGTTTATTTTTTTAAAGGTTTTTATTTTATTTTTATTATTTGTATATGTGTGGGACATTTGTGCACAGTGTGCAGGTGCTCAGGGAGGTTTAGAAGAAGGTGTCAGATCTCCAGGAGCTGGAGTTAACAGGCAATTGTGAGCTGCCATATAGGTGCTGGGAACTGAACCCGGTCCTCTGCAAGAACAGCCAGTGCTCTTAACTTCTGAGCCATCTTGCCAGCTGACAAGTCTTTTTTTTTCTTATCCTCCCCCCTCCCCCACCCCAGCTGAGGACCAAACCCAGGGCTTTGCGCTTGCTAGGCAAGCTCTACCTCTGAACTAAATCCCCAACCACAAGTCTTATTTTTAACATTGTTATGACTTGTTACCTGTTTATTTTGATCAGTTCCTCTAGGAAACAAACTGCCTTCAGCAAACCTATTGAGGATTCATACTTGTAAGAGAGTAAAACAAGCAGAACTCACAAAACCTACTTATAATAGAGCCCACGGTGCTAGATCTGAAATTGGGGCAGTCTTTCTGAGGTGTTCAAGTTCAGCAAGGGTACTTCCTTGGGCCTTTGTACATCAAAACTGACTCAGAGCTGTAGCTGCAAGCCCTCATCAGCCTACCCTTCTAGCAGCCAGGTCTCTATCCCGATGGATGGATTTGCGTGCTGCACCAAGTAGTGGCCACATTATTATCATCTAGTGTCCTCCATGGCTCCCTATCAGTTTTTGGAACAAAATAACTTTTATGATTCCTAACTGCCATCTCCCTCTACACTCTCTCCTCACAACAGGTGCTCTTTTCTCTACAGAGGTTCATACCCTTGTCTGGGGGGGGGGGGGGTGGAGGTAGGGCGGGAGAGGGGCCATCAGTAGTTATACCGTCATGTTTGCAGCCACATCAACACAGGGGAGGATCATCCTTCAAACCAGCTTGAGGCCAAATCAGCTGCATATGTGCATATGTGCATATGAGTTTCCTGAGCACTTACAAGTCCTAGGTGGGCTCGTCAAGACTTGATGATCCCAGGGAGTTGACGCCTGCCCCCACCCCACAGGAAGTGGCGCCCAGCTCTCCCCACCTCAGTGCAGATGCTTTTCCTGTTGGGAATAAAGTGCCAGAGACTCAACTTCCTTCCTTTCTGCCTTGGAAAGGGAGGGGCCTTGGGGAGAAGAAGGGGCGTCTGGGCTGGGAAGTGGGAGAGAGGCTTCCTTGGGGAGAGGAATTTGGCGGCTGGTGTCAGAGGAGCTGGAGTCACTTAGGTCCCGTGAGCAGTGAGGGTGTGCCCAGCTCTGCAGGAGAGAGAAGGCCATTCTCAAGGCCAAGGCCATTTGCAGAGGAGGGAGAACTGGATACCGGTCAGATCTGGTAAGTTCTGTACCAAATTTCCTGGGTGTTACAGAGCAGAAAAGGGACTTGCGGCTAGCATGTTAGGCCTATTTGCATGCTCTCACACTTGGCATCTGCAGAGGCACAACCCAGAACCGCAGAGAGGGCCAAGGCCTCCCAGGTATCCCCCCTCTATCATACCTCCCTCTCCCTTTTTTCCTTAGGGGGCTAGGCAAGGAGCTTGCTCTTCTTTCTCAGAGGGGCCAAAGGAATATCCACCCTGCCTGGTCTACTCCAGGCTCTCACCTCCTCTCCTACCACATCTCCAGCTCCCCAAGGCACACCATGGACTCAGCAGCCAGGGACAAAATCCAGCCCACACTTCTTCCTGGTATGAGCCTTGCTAGCTTGGCTGGGGGGAGGATGATGGCAAGAAAAATGGACATCGTGGGGCTAGGTTTTCCTGCCAGGTCTGGCTAGAACTCTATAGGATTGCCAAGGGTGGGCTGTCCTGGCGATTGGCTGAGGAAAGAGCAGGGCAGCAGGTTTGTTAGCTAGAGGCCCTCCCTGACTGGCACAACTGCCCAGGCTCTTCCTGTCCAGGGCCTGAGTGGCCAGAGCAGGAGAGGGCAGAACAGCTGGCTCGGGGTGCGGCACTCAAGTGGGCCTCAGGCATCTTCTACCGGCCAGAGCAGCTGGCCCGCCTGGGCCAGTACCGCAGCCGTGAAGTGCAGCGGAACTGTTTCCTGGAAGCACGGATTAAGGTGGGTACAGGACAGGGGAGCAGTAGTGTTGGAGTGGGCTGCAGGGCTGGCCAGGCCTGACAAGAGAACTCTCTCCACAGTCGGTGGTACAGTCATACCTGGAAGGTGTGCAGACTGGTGTGTGGCAACTGGCTCGAGCCCTTGAGGCTGTGCAGGGAACTCGTGAAGCCCTGAGCCAGGCCCATCACCTACTCCAGGGGTTGTCTCAGACCTCACAAACCCTGGCACCCCTGAGGGAACGTGTTGTCCAGCACCAGCAACTCCAGGTCCTGACTCAGTTGCTGCCAAGACTACAAGCCGGTGAGTATGGAGGACCTGGCTCAGTTTCTAATAGTCTATAAACACCCATACTGATCAGCAGCTGGGACACTCGGGAAGTGATTACATGGAGAGATGCACCAGGGACATCCCAAAGAGTAACCTCAGCCTCAAAGGGTATATGAAATAGGGTACATAACCAGCTCATTCTGGGGTTCTCAAGCTTGGGATGTCAGAGTCAACATGGACATTCCATTATGTGGTTGGGACCACAGTGATTAACACATTGAAAGGGCTTTGGATGTAGTTCAGCAGTAGAAAATGTGCTTAGTATGTGCAGGACCCCAAATTCAATCCCAAGCGTTCCCCCCAAAATTACACATGTATCTATACAAATTCAATAATACCTGCATCCGAATGTATGCATCAATGTAAATACACATAAACACAAATATATATATGTAGCTATGTTTGTAAATATTTCCTTAACAAGATCGGTGAATAGCAGCCAGCATGGTCTCTCATTTATTTTGTCTGCCCTCTAACATTCTTTTTTAAAGATTTTTTATTTTAAGTGTATGTTTGAGGGCCTGAATGTATGTATGTGTACCACATGAGTACCTGGTACATGCAGGGATCAGAAGGAGACTTAAATCCCCTGGAACTGGAGTTAGAGGCCGTTGTGAGATGCCACATGGTGCTGGGAATCAAACCCAGGTCCTGTGCAAAAGAGCAAGTGCTCATAACCACTGAGCCATCTCTCCAGCCTCCCACCCACCTCCCTAGCATTCTTGATTTCATGTTCTATTGGCTCAGGGATTGACATATGGCCCAACTCTAGGCCTGAGCCTGAATGTTCAGATTAACCAATGCTCTACTGTGCTTATTACTAAACATTTAATACATCACACCAGTCTCAGGACCTCAGTAGCCCTTGCTGTACCAGCAGCACAGGTGGGAAGACTGAGACCTCAAACCACCTCCTTTCTTCACTAGTGCCAGCTGCAATGGCCCACACGCAGACCCTGATTGATGCCCAGCGATTCTTGGAGGCGTATGTGAGCCTACGGGAGCTGGAGCAGCTGCAAGAGGAGACCTGGGCGCCCCTAGGAGGGCTGGAGTTGCCAATCTTCCAGGGGCTGGGCCTTCTGGCTGAGGCGTTGGGCCGAGCAGTGGAGGCAGCTGCAGGGGCTGCCGGGCGACTAGCACGTGAGGACCCAGCCCTGCTGGTAGCTGCTGTTCGCGTGGCAGAGGTGGAGACTGAGCGTACAGTCCTGGGGCAGGCACCGCGAGACTGGCGACAGCGATGTCTTCGGGCACTGCAGGAGGGCCTGGAGCGGATCCATTTCTCATCGCCGGTGCTGCCCGAGCCCGGGGCCCTAGCAGGGTGGCTTGAGGCTCTGCAGGTAGCTCTGCCTGCCGAGTTGGCAACGGCTGAGGCTCTAGTGGCACCCTGCTGCCCACCAAACTACAATGTGGTGCAGCTTTGGGCCCGCACCCTGCACAGCGGCCTGCGCCGTAACGTGCAGCAGCTCCTCTCGGGGCCTGAGCTGGGAGCTGCGGACGCCTTCGCCTTGCTGCACTGGGCATTGCATGTGTACATGGGGTGAGTGCTCTTGGAGAAGTGGGAAGTGGGGAGATCAGAGGCTCAGCGTGACGTCCTGCTCTCGGTCTCTAGGAAAGAAATGATGGGGAACTTGGAGCTAGGGCCTGAGGCTGATGTGTCCCAGCTAGAGCCCCTCCTGACCTCGGAGAACATCGAGCAACTGGAGGCAGCGTTTGTGGCCCAAGTCCAGGTGACCAGTTAGGGCAGAGAACTGAGGTGCTGTGCCCATCGCTGTGCCCATTGTCTAGTTGAATGTCTTGTCAATCAATGCCCTGGCAAGTCTTGCTCCTTGTCCTTTCTTCCAAGGTGAGTGTGGCTCAGTGGCTGCAGAAGGCACTAGATGGGGAGGTAGCTGAGTGGAGCAAGGAGCAGGGGCCCAACACAGACCCAGCCGGCTTCTACCACTCACCAATGCCAGCCATTGTACTGCAGGTGGGTGGGAAGTACCCGAGGCAGGCAGGCAGCTCCCACCAGCACAGGGAGGTGGGCAGCTCTGGGGAATTTCTAAAGGCTGCCCCTCCCTGCCTGTAGATCCTGGCTGAGAACATTCAAGTGACCAGCCTGATCAGTGACTCCTTACATCGGCGGGTGCAGGACATGGCGCTGTCAGAACTGGCCGCATTCTTGAGGAGGTTTGCCAAGCAGGGACTCATTCACAATCCCCGACAGCCAGAGGGCTCTGAGTGAATGGGGGCACCCCTCACCAGCGGGCGAGGGGTCCTTTAAACAAGGGCTTGAACGTGGGGGCTGCAGGCGTGGGGGTGCCAGAGTAGCAGCAAACCCAAGAGTCCCCTCTACCCACTACAGCTTCAGTGATGCTCTGATCCGGTTCTCTCGAGACCACCTGAGGGGAGAAGCCCCTCACTATGTGCCCTACCTACTGGCTGCCTTCAACCACCAATCAGCACTGAGGTACTGCACCTTCACTAACACTCTTCTGGATTCCTCACAGGCATGGATGCCACCCACATTAGAACCACTTTGGGCCCCCAAAGATGGGTTTCCAATCCCAGCTCTGCTGATTACTAGTTGTACCTGGGTACCTGTCACTTTTCTTATTAGTATTACTTGGGTTACAGTAGAAGAGTCTGAGGATCATTTGAGATAAAGATGTGACTATCTACCACATTCTTTCAGCAAATATTTGTCAAGGCTTTACTCTATATCAGATAATGTGTGAAGTTACAGCGATGAACAAGAAAATTTCCCTCCGCTCCTCCTACTTTGAGACAAGAGTTTCATTCACTCTGTGGTCCGAGCTGGCCTCAAACTGGTAGCAATCTTCCATCTTCAGCCTCCACCAGGCCTGGCTGTCTTCTTGAGTATTACGTTCTTTGTGGTAGGCACAAGGACAGACAGACATACAAGCTGATGCTTTTTAACTCCCTCTTGACTAAAATTAGCTCCACTCCCTTACCAATGAGGAAGCGAAGTAACAGGAAGAATGACTTAACTCGGGGTTACCTTAGAGGCATACCTCTGGGTATGCCCTTCCTAGCCCTTCAGAGACCTCCATAAGCTCAGAGCCACCCTTCCCGCCCCCGCTCCCACCACACACTTTGCACCACAAGGTGGCGCCAGAATGGATGAATCCTTGAGGACCGTGCGAGCCTTGGCCTTGGTCCTGAAGTCGTACTTTTGGTTGGTTCAGCTCTTCGTTATCCGTCCTGCTGCCCGACGGAGAAGCTTCAGGGGTCTTGGCTCCAATAGAATCCGCGTTGGATGACGTACAGAGGAGGATCTGCCGCCTGGTATTGGAAGCACTGCAGGTTGAGCTCCAGGTGAGGCTTCCATTCCAGTCAGGATGGGAGTGGGAGGGAGGGACACGGTATATTTATGGGGGTCACTGCGGGATCCGGATCATTTCTCTAGCCTGTCTCTGCCATGCTTTCCCTAGCCCCTGTTCGCATCTCTACCCTCGCGCCAGTGGCTATTGAGTTCTGAGTTGTTGGACGGTGTGTGTGAGCAGACGTCGCACTTCTGCCAGGATTTCTGGCGTGTGCGGAAGCCTGCTGTTCAGGTGGAGCAGGGAGAGGGAGGCTGGGGAAGGGACACTGCCGATGGGAATCTGTCCTCAAACTGCTTACCTGTCCCGCAGCTGCTGCTGGCGGAGGCGGAACGAACTGTGGTGTTGCAATACCTACGCGCGCTGATGCAGGGCCGCCTGGTGTGCCGCGGTGCAGACGAGCGGACCCAGGCGGCTGAGCGCCTTCGGCACGATGCTGCCCAGCTCAAGGAGCTTTTCCTGGGTTTGGTGAGAGCTCGTCGGGAGGGCAGATGGTCGAGGATCTCAGTAGTCGGGTGGGAGCCGAGGGCGGCTGGAAACCCCTGCCCCAATGTGTTCAGGGCCTGGAGGAGAGCGCTCACTGCGCGCCGGTGCTGCTGGCGCTGAGGGAACTGCTCAACCTCCACGATCCCACGCTGCTTGGCCTCGAGGTGGCAGGCCTGAGGCAAAAATTTCCCGACGTGAGGTGCGTGGAAGGGGGCAGGGGAGGAGGAGCCCCGGGACGGCAAGGGCGGGGCTGAGACGCCACGCGTGGTGGTGGTATTCCTGCAGCGAGGATCATGTCTCCGCCCTCTTGGACCTGCGCGGGGACGTGTCCCGAGAGCATCGCCAGGCAGCACTCAGCTCTCTGCAGGCCGGCCCACCGCCCTCACCTTCTACTGGCCGCCGTGCACTCTTCAGCCTCGTACCGACGCCTACGCCCTCGCTGTCCTCCTGCCTCCCCTCGGGTCCCTGCTCCTGACCCGTCTGTCTGCGTAATAAAGCCACGTCCACCGCGCGTCTGAATCTGTGTTGGGGCACGCGGGTGTTGGAAGCAGCGGTGAAATTAGGGGTCCGTGCACAGTGGCACTCCTAATCCTGGTTGCAATCCTAGTATTCTGACAGCATCTCGCCTATGCAGACATCTGCTCTCTTTGTGAATTGCGTCCCCCAAACCCTGGGCTCCCGCGGAAGGACTCAGTACCCACGTATCCACCCGCCGGCAATAAGTGTCTCCACCGCCCTCGGGAGTCGCTTCAGAAGTGGGGAAACTTGTGGAGGGGGAGGTTTAGGACCGCATCCCGCCCATGGGGCGTGGCGTGGCAGTGATTCCGCCCCCTTCGCACTCCTGGCTCCGCCCACAGTGGCTTTAAGCTCGCGCTACCGCGGAGACTGACGTGAGCCTGCGCATATCCGTGCGAGCGTGCGCGCGCCCGATTGCGTGCGTCTTTGGCGCCGGCTCCCACAGTCTCGGAGGCCAGCGATCGGCTTTGAAGAGCAGGAATTGCGGACAGCAATAGAGGTGCGAACAGGTGGGAGCACGGCACGCGAACCGAACCCGCATCCCACTCCAAAGACCGAGACTAAGCATGCGACCTGACCCCTCTTCATTTCCCAGAGAATTCCCCCACTCCATTGTCTTCTAGCCCCGCCCTCCATTGGGCACGCCCTTCACCCTGTCCCACGCCCTTTATTGGCCTCCAGGGCACGCCCCCCGGATCTCTCGGTTCCCATTGGTTCTTCTCTCACGTCAACCTCTGTCTAGGGGTTCTTATTGGTGTGGGCCACACCCTCTCATTTGTCTCCAGACCCCGCCTTCAGGGTCTCCATCCTCACCTTGCCTTCATTCATTCTGCGTCTAGTGAGTGCTTGGGACGAGAGGGTAAATCAGACCCTCCCTGACCTCGGGGAGTTCAGGGAACGGTGGGGAATATGGACCTAGCCTCCAACCGTGACAGCCTAGGGCTGTCAAGAAGCCATCAAGACCCTGGGACCCTTTACACATCGGGAAGGCTTCTCAGAGAAAGTGAGGCCTAAACCGAGCCCTGAAAAATGATTAAGAGGTTACTCCAGGGACACATTGGCCAAAGAATTCTTGGCAGAAGAACCTGAGACGTGAAAGAAACAGGTGCATTCTGGTAATTACGAGGAGGTAGGTTGGAACGAACGAAGGGGAAATGGATGAACTGGCCCAGGTAGTAGTCAGTAGGCGTCCAGGAAAAGTATACAGTTTGAGGGCGAGTAAGATCTAAGACTTGAAATCTTTTTTCACATAGCTGATTACTAGACAAGGTCGGAGGGCTCCGAGGAGGAAGAGCAGGTCTAGATGGGGAAATCTAAGTTTGGGGAAGGAATGATTCTGGTTCTTTTTTTTTTTTTTAAGATTTGTTTTTTTATTTTTATTAATGTATGGCTATGTGCGTGTGCCTGTGCAGGCCAGAAGAGGGCGTTGAACCCGCTGCCCCTGGAGTTAGAGGTAGTCGTGAGCTGTCCAACATGGACGCTAGGAACTGTGTTTGGGTCCTCTGGGAGAGCAGCAAGTGCTCTTAATTGTTGCTCCAGCCCTCCGACGACTCCAGTTCTTACGAGGACTCGGGCTCACTCATTTATTGATTACAATGCTGGATCAGGAACTCTTCTGGGTTTTGGAAACACAGCTGCAGATCCTGGAAAGGAGAAAACAAATAAAACCACCAGATACAAAGTTCACTGCAAAAACAGTTCCAGCCAGGCGGTGGTGGCGCACGCCTTTAATCCCAGCACTCGGGAGGCAGAGCCAGGCGGATCTCTGTGAGTTTGAGGCCAGCCTGGTCTACAGAGCGAGTTCCAGGACAGGAGCAAAGCTACACAGAGAAACCCTGTCTCGAAAAAACAAACAAACAAACAAAAAACAGTTCCAGAAGAGAGAGGAGATTGGCTCTTTTGTCGAGATTTGCTAAAGCTGATTTTCTTTCATCCTTTCTTTTCTCTCTTTTTAAAGCTTTTGAGACAGGTATTGCTATGTAACTCAGGCTAGCCTGGAATCACAATTCTCCTGTTTCATCCTCAAGAGTGCTGGGATTACAGACATGTATCACTACATCTGATGGGGAGGGCAGCTTTTCTTCTGTTTTTAAATTTTATTTTATTTTATTTTTATTTATTTATTTTTTAATGTGTGAGTGCTCTGCGTGTATACCTGCATGCCAGAAGAGGGCATCAGATCCTGTTATAGATGACTGTGAGTCAACATGTGGTGCTGGGAATTGAACTCAGGACCTCTGAAAGAGCAGCCAGTGCTCTTAACCGCTGAGCCATCTCTCCAGCCTCTTTCTAAATTTTTTTATTAAAACATTGTCATGTGGGGTGGTGGTGTCGAACGCTTTGCCTTTAATCCCAGCACTCGGGAGGCAGGGGCATGTGGGTCTCCAGGTTTGAGGCCAGCCTGGTCTACAGAGTTCCAAGACAGCCAGGGCTACACAAAACAACAACAACAACAACCAAAAAAGAACACCAAAAACATTTTCATGTATTTTGATCATGTTTTTATCCTCCTCCAACTCTTCTCGGACCCTCTCCACTTCCCTACTCACTCAGCACACTGAACTTCTCTCTCTCTCTCTCTCTCTCTCTCTCTCTCTCTCTCTCTCTCTCTCTCTCTGTGTGTGTGTGTGTGTGTGTGTGTAGGGCATTTTTTTCTAAATTTTTTAGGAAAATGAGAAAGTGACCCATGCTACTATATGTGAGTGGTACCTCTTTACACAATGGTCAATTCAGTTTAAGGTACCTATTAAATATTAAAGATATCTTGGAAGGTCAAGTATGTTGGCTTAACCATGACCCAGGACTAGAGAGGTTGAGACAGGAAGACTGTGAGTTGAAGGTTAGCATGGTCTACATAGGGAGACTCTATCTTAAACAAAATGATGTATGTATTAGAAGTCGCTATAGTGATCTAAAGTTAATGGAAGGACGAGGGACATAGGCCAGTAGGAGAGGACATACTCAGTGTTTACAAGGCTCTGGGTTTGATCCCCTTCATCAAAGCAAAACCAGAAACCACAAAATTGGATGGGATCATAGGATTCTAGGGTGTGAGTATAAATGGAAGAGAGAAGTTACCATAGACAAGTCTTGGGGTGTTAACAGTGTTAAGAGGTTGGGAAGACAAAGAAGAAACAGCCAGTGATGTGGGAGGCAAACTAACTCCTAGTGTATTTGGAAAGGGAAATGGGCATTATGGTCCCAGGATAAAAGAATCCACTGCACCAGGTGCTATAGATCAATATGATGATCATTAGTGAACTTGATCAGCTCAGTTTAATGGAGAGCAGGACAAATGCATAATCAATGTGAGTGAACTTAGGAGAGAACAGGAAAGAAGTGGGAGATGGTGTGCATGACTCGGGGTATTGTGCTACAACACAGATCAGCTGGAGGGTGTTGTGTGTGGATTCATGTAGAGGTTTTGTTTTGTTTTTAAGATGGAGGAATAACAGCATTTATTTATGCTGATGGACAGAACCCGGTGGAGAGGAAGCCTGGTGATGTAGGATCAAGGAGGAATGTTGGAGTTGAGTCCCTGACCAGGCAAGGGAGGTCAGAGGCTGGCGTCTCCAGTCAGTGTCTGGGGAGAGACTGGATTGCACTGAGCCCTGGCACAGAGTCAGGGGTGAGTACTTGTGCCTTGGATGACCGCTAGGGAGATACCTCAGATAGGAGACAGGCCAGGGGCTAGTTGAATGTACTGGTTTTCCTCTGATTCCCAAAAGCAGACTGTAATTCAGTTCTGAATAGATGACCAATGGGAGAGACAGTATTTCATGTGGGGACTGGCCTGAGCAGGGTATACGCATTCAGACTGATTACAGATGGCAGGAGGATATAGACAGAGCTAGGTAAAGGGGACAAAATGGGACTGAGAAGATGCCATCTGTACAAAGCAGTCTGTGGGCTTCCCTTACCTATGGTCCATCTAGGGATCTGAGGCTGCATTTTGCCAACTCCCAGACTGGGTAAGTGCTAAGCACTGAGGTTAGAACCATGTTTAGGGCCTTAGTTTTAGCTCTAGATGTAACCGTCTGAGAGGATTTTAGTGAGTAGGGAAATGTATAAAATTCTTCCTCTCGCTTTGCCTCACCTCAGACTACTTGGGTAAACCTGGTGGAAGGGATGGACACTGGGGAGGGTGGATAGCTTCTCCAGTTCCTGGCAGCAGACCCTGGATCCAACAAGGATACCATGGGACATAGGGCTTTCTCCTCTGACCACATCCACTCACGCTGGTCTCTGCATGCCCTTCTGTGTCCCTAGAGGTCAACAGTGTGGGAAGTTGGAACGACCGAGCTGGATGTAACCCTCAGGACAGAATGGTGCTGGATTCAGGGGCTCAGGTGTATGAGCAGGCACCCCCCAGCCCACCTGCTAGCCCCTCATCTCAGCGCCATAGGTTGAAGCCCTCAAACCGAAATGGGCCACCCTTGTACCCCTGGCCTCAGTCCCTGGCTATGCCTTTGGCTCTGGCAGTTCCCTCATCACTACAGTCTCAGCCTATGTGGCAGACCTTCTCAAAGCTGCACTTGGGAAACCGTAGCCACATGCGTCGCAGTGAGAGCACCTACAGTGTAAATAGTACTGGCCAGCGGGGGCGAGGCAAAGCGCCCCTTGGACGGGGATGTGATCCAGGTGGAGGGACCCTACGGCCTGCGGCCTCCTTACCTCACATTGCTAAGACTCGAAAGTGTGTAGGCAATGGTAGCAACAAGAGCCCCTGCATGTTAGTGGCCCTGCGGCCAACCAACATGGACCAGGAACGGGAGAAATTCTTCCAGTCCCATTACACCTACAATCCACAGTTCGAGTACCAGGAACCGATGCCAATGAGTGTGCTGGAGAAGTACCAGGAGGCCTCTGGACAGTTCATCCATCAGGTCAGTCCAGCCTGCCCATTTCACCCTGGCCCTGACTACTCAAGGGACCTAGCCTGACTAGTGACTGTGGCCCTGTGTACAGGCAGTTGGCATCATTGAGGCTGTCCTGGAGAAGTTTGGCACTTATGAACACTTTGAGGCCGCCACAGGGGGCCAGCTGCTGACCAAGTGCCAAATTTGGTCCATTGTACGAAAATACATGCAGAAGGAGGGCTGCGTTGGGGAGGTAAGTTTGCCCTTTCTACAGGACCCATATTCTATATGCCCCCAATCAGACCACCTAACTGATAGGCCCGGTTCCACACCTGGCCAGCTGTAATCCCCAAACATATCCCTGCTCCAGCTCCAGATAAGTAAGAGCTGGATTTGAAGGGTGGATGTCCTGACCGGTGTTTAGCCTGGCTGCCTTGTAGCATCAGGAGCCTGTCTGCCCACTACCTTTCAGGGCTTGTAAGCCATGGCTCCATGGCTCAGAGCCCTGCCACCCTGCAGGTTGTGGTGCAGCTGAGTGAGGACCTGCTGTCCCAGGCAGTGATGATGGTGGAGAACAGCCGACCCACCCTGGCCATCAACTTGACTGGAGCCCGCCAGTATTGGTTGGAGGGCATGCTGCGGCATGAGATAGGTCAGTCTGTGGGTGGCATTTGTGTGGGTGGGTAGAATTGAAAGGTATTAAGAGATGGTGGCAGGGCAGTGTGGGGCTTTCCCCCGCTTCCTTCCCTCTGGGAGAAGACAGGCCTGTTCATCCCTAAGCAGATACTCCTTCCTTCTCACTCATAGAAATAGGTCCGGCATGCCTGCCCACCCTCTTTGCTGCCCTTTATTCTTCTTCCTTTGGTTGTCTCTCCAGTTCCTCTCTGATTTCCTTTGGCAGTGAAGGGAAGACTTCCAAGGTCCTAACAGGCCAGAAAGAATCGGAGGGTTCCACCAGACCAGCTAACATACAGGCCCACCAGGGTGGGTGGCAGGCCAGATCCTAGGAAGGGAATTGCTTGAAGAAAACACATGGATAAAAGTTTAGGAGACCAGGATAGGAAGACGAGCACAGGACACTAGTCACTGTCTTCATCAGACAAGAATCTTGTTGCTCTGGGCAAGCAGTGATTTTGATTGGGGCATTTGCATGACTGTCAAGATGATTGGCCTGGGCCACTAGGACGTTGGGGCAGGATGGCCTGCGCTTGGTCTCTAGGAGAGCTAGGGCACAGTATGAACTGGTGTGCAGGAGATGAGAAAATAGGCAGAGAGGGGTATGCTGGACCAAGAGTCTTCTTGTTGCTGGAGTTGGGTGAGAATGAGTTTAGGTAGGGCTTGGGATGACTTGCATGGGGTGAATTTGGGGGCATGAAGATCTAAGAGTCTCCACTAGAGGTCCTTGGAGTGAGTTCAGCCACCTCCTCGTCCTCCCCACAGGCACTCACTACCTGCGTGGTGTGAATAATGCAAGACAACCGTGGCACAGCACTGAAGGCAGATTGCAGTATGGGCTTCGGCCAGCCAACCCCACTGAGGAGGGCCTGGCCAGCCTGCATAGTGTGCTGTTTAGAAAGCAACCCTTCCTGTGGCGGGCGGCCCTGCTCTACTACACCATTCACCAGGCGGCGCGCATGTCCTTCCGCCAGCTCTTCCAGGATCTGGCCCAATATGTGCAGGATGAGGCTGTACGCTGGGAGTACTGCGTCCGTGCCAAGCGAGGACAGACGGATACTTCCCAGCCAGGTGGGAGCTGCCGAATCAGGGCAATGCCTAAGCTAGTGCAAAGTGAAGAGTGGGTTTTAGGTAAGGACTTACTGATTCTCGCTCTCACAGGCTGCTTCAGCAAGGACCAGGTGTACCTGGATGGCATTGTGCGCATCCTGCGGCACCGTCAGACCATCGATTTCCCGCTGCTGACCTCGCTGGGCAAGGTAAGAGGCTGCAGGCTTATAGAGGCCTCAGCTGCCTCCTCCTTCCTCCCTGTACCTTTGAGTACATATTTGATGGAGGCCTGAATACCAGGCCTCTCTGGTGGTAAGAACTTGAGTGGAGGTACGCAGACAAGAAGAAATAAAACTTCGGTATCCCAGATGAGATGTGTGACCCAGCCTGCAGATGTGTGCATATATTTCAAAGGAGGTGAGTGTTCCAGGACAAGGGAGCAGTCAGGAAGTTCTGAGGAAGGAGGCTGGAGAAATGGCCATGGACCAAAACCCAAGTCCTGTATTGCGTTGAGGAAAGCAAACCTTCTCAGAAGCAAAGGGGAACTGGAGGGGCTATAAGAAAGGTGTGGCACAGCTTTGCTTTAGGGAGGCTCCTACTGGATGTCATGTGGGAGGTGCACGGAAAAGAAAGGCAAATAGAGGAGGCTTTCCATCACTCTTACAGAATTGATAATGGTTTGACCTAACCAGGCAGTAGCATGGTTGCAAAGAGATAAACTACAGATAGTAGAACTCTATCTGTTTGACTCCCTGAATGGGAAGATGAGAACCCAGCTTCCCTTTCTTGGACCTGACTGTGGTGACGACTGACAGCTGACATTCAGCAGTCTCGTGCTGGATGTGGGAGACACCTGAGAGATACCCAGGTATCAGTTGAATGCTGTTTAGAGGTGAGGGGATAATCTGGGCTGGAGGGGAATGGGCTATAGACCATAGATGGAAGATGTAGAGAGAAAGAGAACAGACCCAGGGCTGAGCCTGAAGGTACCTATTGTAGAAATAGAGAAATAGAGATAGGTCTATTGTAGGTCAGGAATAGAGTAGTCATCACAGGAGCGAATGGCCCTGAGCCATCAGTAGATCTGGGACTAGCTGCTTGAAAGCCAGAGGTTGTGATTAGCCCTGAGGCTTAGTTTTCTCCCTGTAGGTCTCCTATGAAGATGTGGACCAACTGAAGCCCCATGGAATACTAGATAATACCCGAGTGCCCCACTTTATGAAGGACTTGGGACGCTACCGGCAGCAGCTGGAACACATCATGACCACCAACCGACTGGACGAAGCAGAGCTGGGCCGCCTGCTCCCGGACTGATGTTGGCTAAGGATTATAGACAGAAGCTCTTGACAGAGGTCTCAGACCGGAATATGAAGCTCTTTATGGTTCTATAGCCTAGGTGTTTCTTGGGGGGGGCACTGGGTGACCAGGAGCATCTTGGGAAGATGAGAGACAACGTCAGAAGGTTTTTGTCCTTGCTAGTCTTCCTGGGGCCTGTGAACTAGCAGCAGCATGTCACATAAACTCCTGAACAGGGGAGACCTGGGGAGAGGAGGGGAACTGAGTGTGAATAGGAATGTGGGTTGATTGGGGAATAGAAACTTGTTCCTGCATGAGATGACTTTTGGTGTCTGGTCCTGGCCTTTCCCTTCCCCCACCTGGCCTATTGGTGCTTTTCAGCATTCATACCTACCATCTACCTCTCACTGGGTCTAGTGGGAGTTGGGATCCCCTCTGAGGTGGCTTGCCTGAGCATAGGGTCCTGGCTTTCACTCGGGCTCAGAGACCCAGCTGGGCTGGAATCTGCTTTTCAGCATTTTGCCCCTCTCACTGGTCATGTGTCATTCCATGTATTTGCCTCCATGCCTCCATGCATTATTCATGCCTCCAGCTGGGGCTGGGGGGCAGCAGTTCCTGAAAGTTCAGTGGAGGGACGGGACACTTTGGAAAGGTACCATTGTTCCCAGTCCTCCTCTTACCACACACAGACACGCTGGACTTCAGGTCTTGAGTCCAGCACCTGGCCCCACCCTCGGTCCCCACACTAGTCTTGGTTGTGCCTGTCTTTGACCACACCCTCACAGCTGGTCTCTGGCAATGGTTGGTACAGGCTGGAAGCAACCACAATCAAACCTGCAGGTCAGGCCTATAGGATTTGTTATCTTAAGTTCTGAGCTCGTCTCGGGCCAGGAGAAGTACAGAGCTGGTTAATGCCTCCATTTTCACTTCAGATTCAGCCGTGAGGGATTGAGCCAGTACTGTTCCTACCCTGGCCTTTTATTTTCTCCTCTGTGAAGCTTGGAATCATAGCTGGGAAGTTCTTATTCACTGACTTAATAGATATGTACAGAGCTCCTTGTGTATGTCTGTGACTGCTTAGACCCCCACTGAGCTCCCAGTTCAGGGGAGAACCAGATAATTAAACAGCAGTTACAATGATGTGTGTGGCTTCTGTCTACTCAAGTTCCCTCTCAGGTCCCCCTTAAAGACTGTGAGCTCCAAGACTTCCCTCATCAAGTGGGGGACGCCTGTCCCCTTCCCTTGCTCAGTCTACCAAGCCTAGTGATTTCCATGGAGTAGGACTGTTGTCTCCACAGGCTCCCAGCTGGCTCCTGAAGTGAAAAAGAGCATGGAGCGGGGGTCAGGTCCCGTTGGGGCCTGGATCTGAGATCTCCAGACACATAGTTTGGGCTATTTTGGGGGTGGAATAAGGTTGTGGGGGTGGGGGTGTTTCACACAAGCCTGGTCAGGTCAGTGGGATTCAAACCCACGCCTACCCTCAGTTCCTGAGCAAAGCGCCAGAGTTGTGGAGAGTCAGGTCCAGGCTAACCCTCCCAAGTTTATTCATTTTGCAGTAAATGGAGTCTTGGTGCATTGGGTCCAGCTCTGGCAGGTTCCCAGGTCTTATCCAGCTTGGATAGGATTTGTACAGGTCAGGATTCTGGCGTTCAGGAATCTAGAGACGAAGAGGATGATGGTCAGTGGAGTGGGTATCAGCCCTCATTACAACCTCTAACAAGCCTATAAGCAAGGGTTTAGGCACAACCTTCAGACTCATCTTCTTGGAAGTCAGGCTCCTCCGGCTCCGGCTCTGGCTCTGGCTCCGGCTCCGGCTCCGGTTCTAGTTCAGGCTCTGGTTCTACCTCTGGCTCTGGTTCCGGTTCTGGTTCCGTTTGTTGTTCCAGGTCCGGTTCATCCCCTTCAGAGGCTTCAGCTTCTAGTTCTGGCTCCTCTGGAGTTCCAGATTGCAATGCCTCAGAGCCCTCAGGACCTCCGACCTCCTCTTGCTCTGAAGCTCTGGGCAGCTCAGGACATGTGATCCCTGAACTGGGTGCCACAGGCGTCCAGTGGCCTGAGCATGGAGGGTCATAGCTGCGGTCCCGGTAGCCTGGGGAGGAAGTGGAATACTTGAGGCTCAATTCACCCCTCTGTGGTTAGTTACCTCCACATTCTCTGCCCTCCACTTACCCTTAGTTTTGCCTCACCCCAAGCCACGCCCCCGATCTCAACAAGGCTCCACCCTCCTGGTGCTCACCAGGCCCCACGTGCTGCCAATCCCAGGCGGGGTCTGGCACACGCACAGTATGCTGGGCACAGCGCAGTAGCTCCTGGCAAGCTGCCTCGCCCTTGCTCTGCACCAACAGCAGCAGGCGGCGCACTCTGCGCTCTGCATCAGGCAGCGCATCCAAGGCTTCATACTCAGGCCCGGTGAGCACGCCCCGGGCCACCAGCGCGTCCAGCAGCAGCCCAGAGTCAGCCTGCAACGTATCTACCAGCCGTTTCCGTTCCCGGTCAATGGTCTCCGATGGCCGCTCCTGCACGTTGCCCATGTTCGGGCTATATCAAGGAGAAGGAGAGAAATGGGGGGAGGGGGGGACTGGCGTTCCCACACACTGACCTCTCCCAGGAGTGATCTAAGTTCACCTCGGCATCAGAGTCTGGATGGTTCTTCAGCGGAAGACCTGGAGGCCAGGGCACAGAACTCACCCTTCAGCTTCTTGGTTGCTTCTGTCCCGACTCCTCCGGTTCCTAGGCTAGTCTCTACCTGTCAGCTGATTGCTGCTCACCCCAGCTAGGACTTCCCTCCTAAGCCCCAGCCACCTGCCGAGCTGGCCACCAGTTGAGACCCAGTTTGTCCAACTGAATTATTTTTTCTAAACCCAATTCCTTACCTGAACTGACAGAAAACCCTAGGATTGGTTCATACCTCCTCCCTGAACCCCGCAGCAAACCCTGGATCAGGGCAGCCTGCCTGATCTCTCATACAATCTGGTCTGCATCCGAAGCCTAAGTGGAGGCATGCATGCTCCATTCACCTAACCCTGAGAGGCAGGAATTCCAGAACCTTGCCCTTCACTCATCACCACACTGCAATGTCAACATGGTCTGTGACTCTTCTGGGTCCTTCCTAAGCAGGAGAACTGAGTTCTCCTGAATTTTGACAGACCTCCTGGCATTCAGGACCGACTTTTTTCCCTGATGGCCTGGCAGTGACTCACAGTCATCTCTTACTTGACCTTGAAAGACCCAGCTCTTAAAAACCGTTAAGGAATGCTTACCAAATTTTTAGTTTCCTCTCCGTGGATTATCCCCATTTTGAGAGGCTGCCTCTACCAAACTGGGTGCAAATTAATCTACTCTGCTCATCTCTATTATCAACTGAGGACTACTGCTCACTTGGGTTGGGTGGCCTGACCCAGCCAGCAAGGGCCCTGGCATTAAGGAAAAAGGAAACCTGGCCGTTCCTTTTGCCTCAGCTTTGTCCATACAGCATCCTTTTAGGTCTCTTCTGCCCTAAATGTACCTGTTCTACCTTCTTTTCTAGGTCATTGGAACACACACACACACACACACACACACACACACACACACACACACCATGCCTCGCAGGTCTCAGGACTCTCACATTGTACTGTTCCTGGTCACTTCACACCTTGGACCCCCCTCCATGCCTCATATCTAAGTGTCAACCCTTCCACAGGGCCACTAAGCACAGACCAGGGACATTTCTTCCCACTCTCTCCCCTCTTCACACCCTATCTGTGTCAGTGGCCCTATAGTCAGCTTCTGCCCCTTAAGCCCACCATCAGCACTTTGCCTCCTGGAACAATGAGTGCCTCTGAGTACCTCACCCATGCCCCCTCCTCCCCTCCCTCCCCTCCCCTCCCCCCAACACAGTGACTTTGACAACTCTGGGCTAGCATTTATTGTTCCAGTTCTGTGGGTGAAGAGACAGGCTCAGAGAAACCCAGTAAAGCTGGACTCTGACTTGGCCTACCTTAAACTATAACGTCTCTTGCCTGGGTGAATGCCAGGCCTAACCTCCTATCCTCCGCCCCCACTACCCATCAAAGAGTCTTAAGCCACCTGGTCTGGCTATTTTAATTCCTTCCCACCACCCTGGTCAGCTAGGTTCTTTGCCATTTCCATCCACCATTCAGTCCTGCAAGAACTAACTATGGTCCTAGCACTTCAGCTTTTGCAGATATTGTTGCTTGGGATTCTCCTCTCTCCCCTCTACTCAATGGATCTAGCCCTCAAGACAAATGCTCCCATGTCTACCCCAATTCTTGGGAATTCAAAGGTAGCTAGCTCCTTTTGTGTGCCATGGTCCTCATTACTGTGTTTTCAGGGATCACTAAACTGTGTGTTCAGGACCTCTGCTCTCCTCAATGAGGCTTCCAAAGACGGTCTCCCATCACTGGTTACAGGGAAGGTGGTGAGGCCTGCACCCATTCTGGCCAAACTTTGAAGCTGGATTGGCCTTCTCTTTCTCCCTCCCTGTACCCCAAGTTATTTTTATGTTAGCTGTCTCCCCAGTAACAAGTATTACCTTTCATCTTGTCTGGGAAGCAGAGACCCTAGCTGTTTTAGACCCCAGTTGATTATCTATCTATCTATCTATCTATCTATCTATCTATCACCTATCTATCTATCATCTATCTTTTTTTCGAGACAGGCTTTCGCTGTTTGTAATCCTGGCTGTCCTGGAACTGGCTCTGTAGACCAAGTTGGCCTGGAACTCAGAGATCCGCCTGCTTCTACCTCCCAAGTGTTGGGATTAAAGGCCACCACCACCCAGGCTAGACCCTAGCTGATTTGGGGCCTTCCTTTGAGGTTATCACAGTTCTAAGGTGAGCTGGTTATGCCCTGGCCAGTGCATCAAAGGGCAAGTCTAAATGTTATTTTGAGCCCCAGGTGACCTGGTTTGGTCTGGGACCCCCAGCTTGCTGCCTGGCTGGGGTTTGTTGGGAAACAAGGGTAGAACCTGCAGGAGCCGGTCGCGCATGCGCAACCGCAAGGGTCCCCCTCACCAGCCCTCTACTCAGTCCCAAAGCTTCAGTCCTGCGGAAGGGCGGGGCCCACAGACCTTCGAGCTCCGCTGCTGGTGGTGAGGCACCGTATTCTGCCCAATCTGTTTCCTTTCCCTCCCTGCTGGGTGGAGTCCGGCTTGTGGTCCGGAGCGCTTCGGACGGCCCCACTCCAGAGTTGAGCTTCACCGGGGCAGATGACAGTGCAGAAAGGGCCGAGCAAGCGGGGTGGGGACGCCAACAGCAGCTGCAAAGGGGGCGGGGCGGCCAGGGCTGCCGGGAATGGGCGGGGGAGGGGCACGCTTCTCTGGCTGGGCGAACTCGGACGCTGGACGCGGAGGCCACGCGCTGGCAGGGGAGGACGCATAGTCGGTTTCCCTCCCCCGCCCCAGAGCACCCGGGTTTGAGTCAGGGGGTCAGTTCAGCTCACAGCCCCACGTGTCCAGCCCACTCTGGGCCTTCTAATTGCTAGGTGCTTTTAATTTGTCCTTCTACGATTCCTCCCTCTGCCTGTCACAGATAAGTTTAGAGAAGGGAACTGACTTGCCCAGAGTCAGACGCGTGCATGGAGGAGCTGGATGTGGCGCAGAAACGCCTGCTTCTCGGAAGTTACAGTGGCCGGCATCTCAGTGCCAGTGGGAGAGTTAGGCACTGACTCCCAAGTACCACCATTCTCCGGGTAGGGGCTTCCATGAAAGTCCAAGCGTCTGGACGTTTCTAAGTCCAAGCATCCGGACATTTATATGAACGCAAAGTCGTGCCCACCCATGACTCTAGTGATCTTTGGTTGATAGAAAAAAAGGAGAGACCAGAAACAGAGTTTGGGGAATGCAGTTTATGTTGCAGGACTCGCTAGGGTAGTGGAGAGAGGCTGCGCATAACCGGGGCTTCGTTCATTTCCCCCCAGGGGACGCCAGGAAGCCTAAAGGGGTGTGTGCTGCGTGCCGGTTCAGCCAGGCTTTTTCAGAGGGGTGGGAGCTTCAGGGGGAGGAAGGACTGGCTCCAGGGTCTAAGTAAGAGGCACTGCTTTCTGGGGTATTGTAAAGGGTTAAAGCCCCAGGCACTGACAGGGCTGTACCCTCCAAATCGGCGGGAACGTCCAGCAGGAGTGGGGTTCCCAGCGTGTGGTCTTTTCCTAGGAGGAGTAGGCGGTGCTTAGGAGAGCCCTCCTGCAGTTAGGATGTAACATTACACACACACACACACACACACACACACACACACACACACACACCCTTGAAAGCATAGCCCAGGCTGGCCTTGAGCTCATCATCTTCCTGCCTCAGACTCCAAGTGCTGGGATTACAAGCATGCACTACCATATCTAGCTTAAAACATCATTCCTGCCGGGCTATGGTGGGGGAGGCAGAGCCAGGCGGATCTCTCTAAGTTTCAGGCCAGCCTGGTCTACAGAGCGAGATCCAGGACAGAAACCAAAACTACACAGAGAAACCCTGTCTCGAAAAAACAAACAAACAAATAAATAAAAATAAAATAAAATAAAGAAAGAAAAGAAAAGAAAAAAGAAAAAAAATATCATTCCTGACCTCACTCCTCTCACACAATGATGATAGTATGGGTGACTCCAGAAGACTCTACAGGGCAGCCTGAATTCAGGGTCATCCCTCCCCAACCTAAGCGGCCCAGCCCACCCGATCATGGTAATTCAGATCGTGGTGGTTTCTGCCCAGGAGTCCTCACCACCATTACCTACACCTGAAGGATTCAGTTCCTTGACTGTCAGCTCAGCCTCGCCCCTCTCTTGAGCCAAGGGCTGCATCTGCATGGGAGAACCCCAGGAAGCAGCTCAGAGGGAAGCCCAGGAGATGAGGAAGAGAGCTGAGGAACCCCCGGGGCAATTCTTCAGCCATGAGCCAAACCAACCTTGAGCCACGCCTTTCTTACCAGAGACAACTCCATGTCCAAGTCCATCAGGGTCCATTCTCGTCCTTGCAGGTTAGGGCCCAGCACCTGGGAAGAGCTCGGGTAAGTGGTGCCCTCACAGGCTGCACAGACAGCTCAACTGCCTGTGTCTCATGCCCTGCTCCAGGCGAAGAGATACTCACATCCGTGGGTGCTATGGACTCCACGGTCTCTGGGGGAGGCCGAAACAGCATTGGGGGCAGCAGACTCTCGGGGCTCCGGTTACCCCGCTCCAGGCCCAGAGTTCCCCTGTGCACAAAGAACACTATTGGTCTATAATACCCATCTCCTGTGGGACTTGCATCATCGGGTTTAAGTTGCCCCAACAACTAGAACATGCTAAGAGACAATACTTTCTTTCAATTCCCCCTAAAAAGGAAGATTCCCCCCCCTTTTAAATTTTGTGGAAGTGAGACATCCTCTTGTTATGTAGCCCTGGCTGGCCTCAAACTTACAGCAATCCTCTTGCCTCAACCTCCTGGATGCTAAAGGGGTATATTTGTTGTTGTTTGACAAAGGATCTCGTGTAGCTTAGGCCGTCCATGAACTTTTACTAGCTAAGTATGACCTTGAACTCTTGACCCTTCTGCCACCACCTCCTCCGTAGTGCTGGCATTACAGCAGGGGTATGTCACCATGCCCAGCTTCTAATAGGTCACCTTGATTTGCCTTTGCTTCCTACCTAAGACCCGAGATCTCGGGAGAGGTCCCCTTCCTATATAAGTGTAAGTACAAGTAAAGGTTTTCTATTTGTTTTTTGTTGTGGATGCATGTGTGTTCCAGTCTTGGAGTTAGAATTTAGGTCTTGAGCATGTTAGGCACGTACTCCACCACTAAGTTATGTCTCCAGCCTAGCCACCCTTTTCCTTTTATTTCTATTTTTGATTTATTTATGTGATTTTTGGAAACAGGGTTTCTCTGTGTAACAGCTGACTGTCCTGGAACTCACTCTGTTGACCAGGCTGGCCTCGAACTCACAGAGATCCGACTGCCTCTGCCTCTTGAGTGCTGGGATTAAAGGTGTGCACCACCACCACCTGGCAGATTTATTTTATTTATTATTATTGTGTGTATTATGTGTCTTGGGGGTGGGGCATGTGTAGAGGTCAGAGGGGACAGTTTGTGGAGTTGATTCTCTCCTTCCACTTTATATGGGTTTTAGGGGTTGAACTCAGGTCAAGGGGCTTTTGTGGCAAGTGCTCCACCTGCCAAGCCATCCTGCCAGATCTTCCTTTTATATTTAGACAGAGTCTCACTAAGTCACCAACATTGGTCTTGAGTTCCCACTGTAGCCCAGGCAGACCTTGAACTTATGATACTCCTGCCTCAGTTTCCCAAGTAGTTGGGTTGACACCCCTGTGCCACTAAGACCAGCTACCATTGATGGTTGAGCTCCTGTAAATGATAATCATCCTAGTGAACTAATTTCAGGGTGCTTAGTGACTTGATTGGGAGTTTTCATTTTCTCAATAATTTTGATGCTCTTTGGAGCATACTCTGAGAAATCAGGTCAGGGTCATGAGAGTCTGATGCCCAGTGCCCTCCCTTAGCTACCACAGGACAGACAAAGCAGACTCTTCTTTGGCCAGTATATGTGGCTCTCTCTCTAACGCATCAACATTAGCTCTGCTCACCTGTCAGGTACCTCCCTGGGGCCCCTTGGTTCAGGCTGCTGTACACTCCTGGGCCCCTCAGGGCTGTAGCTCCCTTTCCCTTCCAGGATGGCCTGCACCACAGCCACAGGCAGCGGTGGGGGTGCTGTCACGCAGAAGTCACACTCGTTTGGGGCCAGGGCCAGCCCGGCCTCGCCATCCCCCCCTGGACTGGCCGGCTCTTCTTTGAGCGGCGCCAGACCCTTCACCCTGCGCCAGAGAAAAGCTTCAACCAGACCCTGACACCGACCTCTCCCCACCCCCACAGACTTCTGGGCTCTGGGCTCTTTCCCATAGGGTCCCCAGAAGGCAGCCCTGGTCCTCCTTACCTCCTGCCACCAATGGAGGGAGAAAGCCTGTGTCCTTCAGGAGATGGAGCGTCTTCTGGGATGTCAGAGATGATGGGCCCTCTGGCCCTGTGAGGGCTGAGGCCCAAGGTAGTCTCTGGGAGGGGCTGCAAGAAGAAGGCTTGGCCCAGCCCTTGGCCTCTAGCTATAGAAACAGCCCAACCAGCACCCACCTGAACCAGGCCTGAGGGTCAGGGTTTGAAAAGGAATCTATCTATGGTGGGGAGCCTAGGTCTGGTTGGTAGAATGGTAGCATCCATCTTGGGGGGGGATGGGGAGAAGAAGCAGGCTCCTCACAATCCTCTCTATGCCCTAGGAAGAGGAGGAGGAGGAAACACCACCTACCGACTGGATAAAGTAGGGGTCCTGGAGGAGAGCGCCAGATAGGGGGCAGGCATTGAATCTGGCAGGTGCTGGGCATGTGCTCCCCTCATCTAGCATCAGGGACCTGTGCAGGGTGGGCAGGTTAGACCTCCATGCCCCTCAGCCTGCACCTCCCTCCCCCCTCTCTCTCCCTCCCTCAGGCCCCAGCAGCCAAGTCAGCAGAGCTGAGGCCTGTTTCCAGGGCATCAGTCACATGCTGGAGTGGAAGGGGCTCCCTGAGAGATGGGGGCCCTTTGGGGGTTGAGAGGGGAGGGAGAGAGCTTAGTTTGAGCCCCAAGCTAGGAGTGCCTACTTTGGGCATAGGAATTTGAGGGTAATTACAGTCCTGGAATGGAAGAGAGGGGAGGGGGTGTGAAGTAATGGGTGGTGGGGTGGGGGTAAGAGGTAGGGGGAGTCCTGGATGGAGGGAGGATTAAGGATTCCTGGCGAAGTCTCTGGAGGGGGTCCCTGACAAGGAAGGGAGTCCTGGCAGTGGGAATGTGGGTGTGAACACTGCAGGCTTTTGGACTCACAGCTTTCTCTTGGGTCCTGTACTGCTGGGACCTGTCTGAAGTGGCCCAAACAGGCACTGGATTAGCTGAAAAGAAAGGGTTAATTCATACTTCAGGCCAGGCCCCTCACCTTGGAGAGGCGATTTCTGGCGGGTCTGAGGGACAGGGGTGGAGGTATAGGGTGCCCAGGAGTGGGGAGGGGGGGAGGTAGGGGCAGATGAACACCTTGCCGATGACCCGGTGCTGCTGACCGTGGCTCTGCCGCAAGGTCACCACCTCTCGCCACAAGATCTCATTCTGCCTGGGGGAAAGGGGTGGGAAGATGCTGAGGCGCCTGAGTTTGCTCAGGCACCATGCCCCACAGAGTGGAGAGGTCACTAGCAGAGGGGACCTGTATCCTACAAGACTAAAGTTCCAGAGCTGAACCCATTGTCTGGATGGAGGCTCTCGCCTAAGAGTGGAAGGAGCTGCCCAGAGCCCCTCGGTGGCCCGTATTCTATCACCCATGACTCCACCCTTCCTTCCCTGTCCCGCACTGCCTGAGTTCCTGCAGCCGTGCCTCCGTGCTCTCTTGTACTCCCCTCAAAGCTTGCACCTCTCCCAGCAGTCGGCCCAGGTCTTCAGGACGCCATCGACTGTCATCACCTCGCAGGGCAGGTACCTGTAGGTAGGAGGCATCATCCCGGACAGGGTCACATAAAACAGAGCCTGAAGTACCAACATTGGTGCTTTCCCATTTTTTTTGCAGTTTGTCCCACCTTGCGGCGGACGCGCTCCAGTAGCTGCTCACGGCCTCGCACGAAGCTTGGGTGCTGGAATTCAACGTGGTCACGCTCTGGCCTGAGCAGGCCACCTTGCTCAATGCTCACCACCTTCCGAAAACCGTCTGGGGAATGGTGCGGGGTGGGGGGAGGGGGAGGCGGGGGCATGAGCGTGAGTGTGAGCCGCTCCATCCTCTGCACCAAGTAACCCCAACCCGCTCCCCGCCTGGCAGAGGGACTCACACATGTTGAGTTGGCGAACAAAGCTCGCCATGTTGCTGTGCTTGAAATACTGGGGCAGTACTTCCTTGGCGAAGCGGCTCTGATCACTTACGAGGAAGCTGGTCCCACTCTACCAAGAACGAAGGACGCCCACCGGGTGCAGACCAGACTAGGTGAGTGGCGGCCACTCACTGCTGGGCCACACTCACTCACTCTGGGGTCCAGGTTTGCACCTCACTGGGAGGTGGGACTTAACCAGGTCAGAACCATAGGAGGCCTACTCTGCCATAACCACAAATAATTCCTACCCCTAGCCAGACCCAGACTCGGTTCTCAGAAAGAACTAGCACATACCAAACCGGGGTCCACCTCAGACTGGTCCCAGACTCACTATGTGACCCTGAGCCAGAGGTAGAGCCAGCCCTTCCCTCTTCTTGGCCTGTTTTCTCATCAGTCGATGAAGTAAATAAAGTGAGAATTACTTAGGTCCCTTGGGCTCTTAGGACCCTTACTCCTCCTCACCCTTATCTCACCTACCCCTTCCACCGTGATCCACTCTGGACAGCTGAACCGAGGTACTCACAGCCCAGTCCCAGGCGGGGGCTGGGTAGACACGGGTGTTCACAGACATTGGAGGGACCCCGGGGACCACTGAGGGAGTTGAGGGGCCCCAGCCCTCACCGGGCTCCAGCGGATGAGGTGGTCTGTGCCTGGGTCGCCCACCAGCGCCCATAGCTTGCCGAGGAAGGCAGGTACCGGGCTGGGGCCTGGCTCCGTGGGCAGCGCAGCTGGCGCTTCCTGCATGGCGCAGTCTCGGCCGGGCTCAGCGTTCCAGCCCGGCCGCTGCGGGCTTGTCAAAGCCGCGAAAGTGCTGCGTTTGCCGCCCGCCCCGCCCTACTCCGCCCCTGGGCGCCGGGTCAGGCGGGGGCCGCGTGCGAAGCCTAGAGGCGGGGCTCGGACAGCGGCCCAGCCACCAGCAGAGGGAAAGGGCTGACTGCAACGTAGGTGTGTGGGCATGAGGAGGGGAACCCAGGTTCGAGTCTCATCCTTCTCAAGTCCCTCTCTTTCTGGGTTGATTGGGAGAAATCATCTGTGGGCTAGAAGTCCTAGAAGTTCATCTGTGGACACAGTGAAGCCTAGGTAAGGGAGGGCAGACAGAAAGGGTGGTGGGTGCTGCTGGCCCTCCCCTGTCTTTCGGAACGCTAGGGAATTGGTCATTCCTGGGATATTGAGTTCACCGATCCCGACCCAGCAAAGTCACAGTACAAAAGCCCCTGAGATCTCCGTTCTTGCACTTCTAGCCCTTCTGCTTGCTCGTCCAGCCTTTGTGCATTTCCTGCCCTCCCCTTCACAGCTGACTCGAGATCACAGGACGCAAGAATACTAAAGGATTTATTTACTTCACACTCACCCTTGACTTTTGGCTTGTATTTGTACCTGCCCTCCCTCAGCTCTGGGCCTCGGAGCCTCGGAGCTGGCGCAGAGTGGACAGAGGGGAGGGAGAGCCTAGAATGGGCAGAGACACAGAGGTTGAGAAGGCCCCGTGAATCTATGGAGCCTGGATCTGGTCTGGATGTCCTCATAGGCCACAATTCCGGAGAAGCATCTTAGTCAACGGACTACCTAAGGACAGGGCTAGCCGCTGGGGAGTGCCTGCGCAACTTGCTCAGGCCTTTCAGTGGCTTCGGTCCGCGCGGTCCTGGAGTGGTGAGATTGCCCAATCACCGCACCAGCGTGGGCCGCCAGGGATGCGGTTCACGCTTTAGTTTGAGCGTGTAGCTGCGCAGGCGCGGACAGTGCGCGCGGAAGGCGTCCAGTACCGAGGGTCTCACCACGCAGAAGCAGTGTATCTCCCTCAAGCCCGCGCAGCGCGCCGCCAGCTCCTCCAGAGCGGTGTGCAGCTCGGTGGAAGCGGACGCGCGCACCTCGAGGGCGCGCAAAGTTTCGGCGTAGTGGCGCGCTGCGAAGCGCACTGGCCCTACCGTGTCACCCGAGAGGTTGAGACGCAGCACAGCCACTGGTACGGCTGGTTGCAGGACGCGCATTACGGCCTCGTCTGGAAGCGCGGGCTCCAGTTCCAGCTCCACCTCCAGCCCAGGGTGGCGGCAACTCAATGTCGCCCAGGCTTCATCAGGCAGAAGGGGCGCACGAGCATCTTCGGGGCACGCGCACCGCAGTGCCAGGAGTGCAAAAGGGGCGCGATGTGGCGCAGCCAGCAGTTCCAGCGCGGCACGCGACAGACTGGCCAGATGCAGTCCAAGGGCGCGCAGGTGCGGGCAGGCCTCCAAAAGCTTGAGCACAGAGCTGGGCTGCACATTGTCCACCAGTGCATGGTTGTCCAGGAAAAGACTCCGGAGCTCGGGACAGTCACGTGCAGCCTGAAGCACCAGCGAGTCGTCCAGTGTGTAGGGCAAGCGGCGCAGGTCGAGAAGGTGCAGTTGGTGAACGGTTCTGCAGACTGCATGCACAGCGCTCAGGATGTCGCTGCCGGCATCGAAAAGTGGCTTCTCTCCGCGGCATTCCAAGCTTAGGCCTCGAAGTCCGGGGGCTCGGCCTGCCAGAGCAGTCAGTAGCGCAGTGGCCGCTCGGCGGCTGGGCTTCTTTGATGGCTCATATTCCAGCCTTAGGTTGTGAATATGGTCCAGGCAGGCGGACAGATATGGTGGCAACAAGTCTTCCAGCTCACAGTCACAACTTGTGTTAGAGCGACACAGAAAGGAATTAGCGGTATCACCATGAATAGGGGGAGAAACTTTTTTCAAAAAAAAATTAATGTATTGATTTTTTTTTTGTGTATAGTTGTTTTGCTTGCATGTATGTCTGTGCACCACAGGTGTGCCTGGTGTTTGAGGAGGCCAGAAGACGTCGTTGGATCCTCTAGGACTGGAATTACAGCCGGTTATGACGGCTGTGTGGGAGCTGGGAATCAAATCCAGGTCTTCTGGAAAAGCAGCTAGTGCTCTTAACTGAGGAGCCATCTCTATGTGCCCCTCACTTTGGGTTCCACCGGCCCTCCCTATTTTCTGTAATGGGAACTTCCATTTTGTTTATTTATTTGTTTGTTTGTTTATTTTGATTTTAAGGTCTTTTTCTTTTTCCCCCCTGAACTTTATTTATTATGTATATAGTGTTCTGCCTGCATTTATGACTGTGTGCCAGAAGAAGGCACCAGATCTCATTACAGATGGTTGTGAGCCACCATGTGGGTGCTGGGAATTGAACTCAGGACCTCTGGAAGAACAGCTAGTGCTCTTAACCTCTGAGCCATCTCTCCAGCCCACTTATTTTGATTTTTTTTCAAGACGGGGTTTCTCTGTAGTTTTGGAGCCTATCTTGGAACATGTTCTATAGACCCATGCTGGCCTCTCTGCCTCCCAAGTGCTGGGATTAAAGGCCTGCGCTACCACTGCCTGGCTCTATTCTTTTAGAAGTCTTCAGAGGCTTCTGCCTCAGGTTGAACACCCACCCGGCCCCCAGCCCTGTGAAAAACCAATGTTTTTTTTTTTATTTAAGGAACTAGGCTTGCTCATTAGTCTGTGGAAGTGGAGCAGGGCCTCCAGACTGCCAGGTTCAAATTCTGCCTCTGTCACTTAGTTGCTGGATGAAGCCTCCAGGCCCAAGTGATTACGTCTCAGTTTCCTGCCTATGCAAAGGAAATACTATCTACCTGCTACAGGGGCTTCTTATGAGGATTATATGAGCTAATTTATGTTAGGCACTTAGAACACTCCTTGGGGGTTGGGGTCAGAGCTTAGTGGTAGAATCCTTGCCTAGCAAGCGTGAGACCCTAGGTTCAATCCCCGGTACTCAAAAAAACAAAACAAAACTACCCAGTACTAATTGGTATATAGTAGGCAGCCAATGAGTTTGTTTGTTGTCAAGTCTGAAGACCAGTGGTCGGCAGGAAGCAACTCACCTGATGCTGGTGTCATGCCACACAGCACTGCTGGTGGCGGCCACAGCCCAGGCCTTGCAGACTCTGGCAGCCACAGCACGGTCCCTGAGAGGCAGTTCACGGAAGATGAGTGCCAACACTTCCTCTGGCAGTTTTTCTACGGGCTCCACCATGGTGTGGCTGGGGGGAAGGGGTCTGCTGCTCCCAGCAACTGGGCCTAGAGCGAAGGAGGGAGCCCTGGACTCAGAAAGGCCGAAGGATTTCGGAACTGCCAACGCTTGGGAGGTGCCAATAGCCTGGGAGATGCTATCCAAAATTTGCAGAAAATGTAGAGATCCCAGCCTGTGAGATGGCTCAGCAGATAAAGGCACTTGCCCTCAACACTGATGACCTGAGTTCTATCCCTGGGAATCAGTGGCAGAAAGAAGTGACTTCTGTAAGTTGACCTCTGACCTCCACTGGCATGCATGTCCACCCTGGATGGAGCATTTCCATACATATATACACATGAATAAATAAATAAATAAATGATGGATTTAAACAACAACAGGATGGGCCTGGGGAGATGGCTTAGCAGCAAAGAGGGCTGGCTGCTCTTGCAGAGGATCCAGGCTTAGCCCCAGCACCCACATGGTGGCTCACAACTGTCCTTAACTCCAGTTCCAGGGATGTGACACCTCTCCTAGCTTCTGTGGGCACCAGGCGCACACACCCATACATACATGCAGACCAACACCCATACACATAAAAATGCAAATCTAAAAATGATGTTTTTAATCATTTAAAGGCAGAAGAGATCTGGGCGGTGGTGGCGCACGCCTGTAATCCCAGCACTCGGGAGGCAGAGCCAGGCGGATCTCTGTGAGTTTGAGGCCAGCCTGGGCTACAGAGTGAGTTCCAGGACAGGCACCAAAAGCTATACAGAGAAACCCTGTCTCGAAAAACAAAACAAACAAAACAAAACAAACAAAACAAAAAACCCAAAAAAACGAAAAGACTGAAGAGATGGCTCATCAATTAAGAGCATTCATTGCCCTCATCGAAGGTGGGGATTTTGTAACTGCAGTTCTAGGAGGTCTAATACCCTCTTCTGGGCTCCACGGCACTGCCCACTCATGTTACATAGACAGACATGCAAACAATACACATTAAATAAATTAGTTAATTAAAAAAAGAAAATGCAGGGTTGGGGACTTAGCTCAGTGGTAGAGTGCTTGCCTAGCAAGCGCAAGGCCCTGCGTTCGGTCCTCAGCCCTGGGGAAAAAAAAAAAAAGAAAGAAAGAAAAAAAAAGAAAATGCTAGCTGGGCATGGTGCAGGCCTTTAATCTTAGCACTCAGGAGGCAGAGGCAGGTGTTCAAGGCCTCTGAGTTCAAGGCCAGCCTGGTCTACAGAGTGAGTTCCAGAACAGCCAGGACCTTTACACAGAAAAATCCTGTCTCAAACAAACAAACAAACAAACAAAACAAAAAAGAAAAGAAAACGCAGAGGTTTCTGTTCAGAATGTTATTAATTTTCCCAAAGGGTTAAGGGTGTAGCTCAGTGGTTGTGCCACACACACACACACACACACACACACACACACACACACACACTTCTTTCCCCTCTCTCCTCTCTTCTTTTTTTTTCTTTCTCACCTCTGCTGTGTAGCCTGCCTGGTGTTGAAGTTGAGATACTCCAGCCTCAGTGGTTTGGTTTTCTTTCTTTCTTTTTTTCTTTTTCTTTTTGGTTTTTCGAGGCAGGGTTTCTCTGTGTAGCTTTGGTGCTTTGGTGCCTGTCCTGGATCTCACTCGTAGACCAGGCTGGCCTCGAACTCACAGAGATTCCCCTGGGCTCTGCCTCCCAAGAGCTGGGATTAAAGGCGTAGGTCACCACCGCCCGGCCCCTTCTTTCATTTTTATTTTTTAAAGATTTATTTACTTATGTATACAGTGTTTTGCCTGGTGTATACCTGCAGGCCAGAAGAGGGCACCATATCTCACTACTGATGGTTGTGAGCCACTGTGTGGTTGCTGAGAATTGAACTCAGGACCTCTGGAAGAGCAACCAGTGTTCTTAACCTCTGAGCCATCTCTCCAACCAGCACCACCAGCACCACCAGCACCCCCAGCACCCCCAGCACCCCCAGCACCCCCAGCACCACCACCTCCTCCTCCACCTCCTCCTCCTCCTCCTCCTCCTCCTCCTCCTCCTCCTCCTCCTCCTCCTCCTCCTCCTCCTCCTCTTCTTCCTCCTTTTCCTCTTTTTCAAAAAGCCTTGGCTGGCCTGGAACTCACTATGTAGACCAGGCTGGCCTTGAACTCACAGAGATCCACTTGCCTCTGCTTTGGAGTGTTGTGACTAAGGGTATGTGCCGCCAAACCTGGCTCTCAACGGTTCTTTAAACTACTTTCTCATTAGTTCAACAAACTTTACTTGACTCCATCGGTTTTGAGTTGAGGAATCCTGTCCCCACCTTCCACTAGAAAGTGACTGCTGGGTTTATCAGGCGTGTATCTTAGTGAAATATACATATATACATACATATATATGTATATATGTATATATATGTATATACATATATTTGAGATCACTAGCCAACAGGAAATGAGGCTCCTTCGTGCTGTCTCCACCCCCAGGAACTGACTTCCCGCATGCTTTCTGTGACAGACCTATGGAAAAAAGCTTGCAGCTTTGGAGCCGGACTGCTCTGGCACCTTGAGGGGTTGTTGTGCAAGTTAGGACCCTGATCCTTGCGTAGCCCTGGTTCTCGCGAGCTAATTAAGGTTTGGCTGGAACTCCACAGACCCACTCTAGAGCTCAGCTTTTAGAAGGAGGATGGGGTTGTTGGAAGCTGTGAGTTCTTTTTGAAGCTGACAGTTTTGTTTCAAGGTGCTGGAGGTTTTTGTAAATGTTCATACCACTTGCCATTTAATTTCCCCATGTCTTCCAAGCGTATGGTTTCTCGTGGAATTTGTTCCAAGTATACTCTAGAGTTTCAGATACCCGGAGCCAGGCTTGTTCTGGAATCACGGTCCCCCATTTTAAGTGCTAAAGAGTAGCAGAGATTAGATCACCGAACTAGATTCCTAGGGGGCGCCAGAAAAATTCTCATCTCCAGGAAACACCCTCTGATTGAACCCCAAGAACTGAATTAAGTTTGGCAGCTCTCACTCTGGACCCCTTCGGCCTCCAAAACCTCAAGCTGCTGAAGTCATGACTAGTGGGCAGTTCGTCCTGCCATCTAACCTTGGGTGTCGTTTTCTTACCTGCTCAGCGGACTAGGTGGGCTTTGCCCGGAGGCAGGGGACTGGCCACGGAGGACAGCGGGGCAGGAAGGAGAGGCCCCGAGCGGAGAAGGCGGGACGCGCGGGCTGACCCGGCGGCTTGAACTGGGGCGCCGCCCCTGCGTCTCCGCGCACACCCGGAAGCCGCGCGCAGCGGAGCGGGGCCAGTGTGTGGCCGCCAGGTTAGTGCGGAGAATGGGTGGGCTCCCTTGGTGCAACCGGAGCAGAGAGCGATCTGGCTCCCGAGGGTGGGCACCGCGCCGGGGTGACACGCAGTTGCTGGCTAGTTAGTGGTGGGAGCCTGTTGGACTGCTTCGGTGGGAGGCGCGAGGGTCTTCGGACCTCCACCTTCCTTGGTTTCTTGTCCTAACTAAGTCGGTGTGAACGAAATGGGTGTCAGGGCCCTGCAGGCAAGAGGATCTGGCTTCAGGGCTGGCCCGGAATGGTTCTGAGAGCCCCCTTTCTGCCTGAGCCCTGGCATGTGTGAACCCCTAGCTTGAAGGCGGGGTAGTGGGGAGTCTGGGAACCTCCCTCTGCCAGGTGGCGTACAGCGCAGCCAAGCAGGGGCGTGCCCTAATGGTATGGGAATCTCAAACTTTCAGTTCTCGAGTGGGGTGCTATGCTTGTCCACCCAGCCAGAAGTGGGTTTGCCTGGGGACTGTTATGCGTTAATGGGGACATTTGTTACTAAGTTAGTATTGGTGTCCTAGGACCCAGCCTAGAAGCCTCTCAGTGGGTGGTAGACATTCGTGGAAGGACTCCTGGTAAGGATTTCTTTTTTTTCTTTTATGCGCGCGCGCGCGCGCGCGCGCGCGCGTGTGTGTGTGTGTGTGTGTGTGTGTGTGTGTATGTGTGTGAGATAGGGTTTCTCTGTGTAACCCTGGCTGCCCTGAATCTCTCTCTGTAGACCAGACTGACCTCGAACTAAGAAATTTCCCTGCCTCTGCCTCCTGAGTGCTGGGATTAAAGGCGTGTGCCACCACTGTCAGGGCATCCTTCATTACTTTTTAAGAAAGACCTTTATGCACTGGGGTGTGGCTTGGTGGCTGAGAATTTGGCTGCATACACATGGCCCAGGGTTCAATCCCAAGTATGGAAGAGACTGGGGTCTTGCTTTGTAGTACAGGCTGGCTTCAACCTCCTGATCTTCCTGCCTCTGGCCCCTGAGTGCTGGTACCATCATAACAAGGTCTTTTCTCCTCCTCCTCCTCCTCCTCCTCCTCCTCCTCCTCCTCCTCCTCCTCCTCCTCCTCCTTGCACACGTTGGGCAAGCACTTTATCACCGAACTATTTATTCCGGCCTTTTTTTTTGCTTATTGAGCCAGGGACTCACTATGTAGACCAGGCTGGCCTCTGCCTCCTGAATGCTGGATTAAAGGCATGTCCCACTATGCCCCACCTCTTTTCTCTTAATACTAAAGAAATATGTCTATTATATACAAAATAGAAGATATTGTTAAATACAAAGAAAACTGAAATCAACCGCCACCTGCCCAGAGATAAACAGTAACTTTCAGGCTGTTTTAGCAAACATACATGTATTAGTATGTTTTCTATGAAGAGACTGATGAAGGGGGGGTTTCAAAAACTGTGTCCCCTAAATTGCCAACTTACCATTTCTCTTGGTAAGGTTTGTGTGACACCTTGCCCAGGGGCTTTTGTTGTTGTTGTTTTTGTTTTTTTTTTTTTTGAGACAGGGTTTCTCTGTGTAGTTTTGGTGCCTGTCCTGGATCTCACTCTGTAGACCAGGCTGGCCTCGAACTCACAGAGATCCTCCTGGCTCTCAGGGGCTTTCTTAACCTTGACCCTCAGTAGAGGTTTAGAAGCAGGATTCTGACAGGTGATGGATGGAAGATATCATAGCACCAAGGGGCTCTGTCTCTCTTGACAATTAGGGAATCTGTTTAGGAACACCTGAAGAAAACAAGGGACTTATAACAAAGTAGAATGATTTAGCTTACATAACTGAGCAGTCAGGATGTGGATCTATGGTTAAGAGTGTATGATCTGCCAGGTGGTGGTAGCACACGTCTTTAAACGCAGCACTCAGGAGGCAGAGGCAGGCGGATCTCAGTGAGTTGAGGTCAGCCTGGTCTACAGAGTGAGATCCAGGACAGCTAGGGCTATACAGAGAAACCCTGTCTTGAAAAACAAACAAAACAAAACAAAAACAAGAGTGTATGTCCTGGAGGCTGGAGAGATGGCTCAGGGGTTAAGAGCACTGTGAGGACCCTGGTTCAATTCCCAGCACCCACATGGCAGCTCGCAACTGATTGTAACTCCAGTTCCAGGGGACCTGACACCCTCACACAGACATGCACGAAGGCAAAACACCAATGCACATAAAAATAAATAAATCTTGGGGCTGGGGATTTAGCTCAGTGGTAGAGCGCTTGCCTAGCCAGCGCAAGGCCTTGGGTTTGATCCTCAGCTAAAAAAAAAGAGGAAAAAAAATCTTAAAAAAAAACCTTGCATGTTCTGAGATGCAATATATAGCTCAACAGTTAAGAGCACTGGCTGCTCTTCCAGAGGACCCAGTTAGATGCCCAGCACCCACACAATGGCTCACAACCATCCATCCCAGGAAATTGATACCCTTGTCTGGTCTTTATGAGCACCAGATGTGCATGCAGGCATACAAGCAGGCAGAACAATAAAAAAATGAGAGTGTGTGTCCTGCCAGACATGGTGGCGCACGCCTTTAATTCCAGCACTTGGGAGGCAGAGGCAGGCAGATCTCTGTGAGGTGGAGGTCAATCTCATGTGCATGGTGAGTTCCAGGCCAGGCAGGGCTATGCAGAGGGACCCTGTCTCAAAAGAAAAGAAAAATAAAAAATAAAAAAGAAAGAAAGAAAAAGGAAAAGAAAAAAGTGCATGTTCTCATCGTTTGGCCATGTTTCTTTCCATGTAGGCTCTCTCCTTCCCTCAGATAGGTTCTTTCTAAACAGTAGCCAAAGAGACCTATTCCTTCCCTCCAATTCAACCCCAAGGGTAGGGAAATTAATGCCACTTCCTTAGTGGTCCACTCAGGGATGCAGAGTTGAGTTTCTTTCTTTTTCTTTTTCTGGTTTTTTTGAGACAGGGTTTCTCTGTGTAGCTTTGGTGCCTGTCCTGGATCTCACTCTGTAGCCCAGACTGGCCTCGAACTCAGAGATCCACCTGGCTCTGCCTCCCGAGTGCTGGGATTAAAGGTGTGCACCTCCACAGCCCGGCAGAGTTGAGTTTCTTTAGTCTTGTTTGAGCCCTATATTGAGTCTTGACTGGCTTCTGATGAATGGTGAGTGGGATGTGTAGACTGGTCAGCCTTGCTTTTCACATCCAAACTTGGATCTAGGCAGTGAAAATTAAGTGAAGCCAGGTATAGTGGGAACATAGTGGTACTTTGCACCTGAAAGGGTTTTGGGAACTTACTGTTAAGCTGAAGGCAAAGCTAAGACATGAACCTGGTTGATCTCGAAGCATGGGCACGATCCAGAAGGAAGATGTCTTTTGTCAGCCTTGGTAAGAGGGACATACTGGCCTGGGGCCCACTGCAGGGCCCACTTCCGTTATTCTGTTACTGTGACCCTAGACTTCTTGTCACAAGTGGTGGAGGGACAATCCCGGGTTCAAGTCTGGGTCGGACTGGGCCAGACTGTGGGCAGAGCCAAGAGTTGGGACTTCTCTGGAAGGCCAGCTAGGCCACGTGAGACTGGATATTTGTTTCCAAGTCTGGAGACAAATTGTTTGCATTTCTAGGAGGCGAGATGGCAGCTGGGCAGAATGGGCATGAAGAGTGGGTAGGCAGCGCATACCTGTTTTTGGAGTCTTCGATGGACAAGGTGGTCCTGTCTGAAGCCTACACAGATCCCCAGAAAAAGGTGGCCATATACCAGGCCCTGCAGACTGCACTGTCAGGTGTGTGGCTGGACAGGCGGAGGACAAACACTGTGGGACGTTGTGAGTGGGACTGGGTTTGGGGCCCCACGTCTTTGCCTCTGTGGGTTTCGGCTCAGACACCTTGAAGGAAAAGGTTATTTTGGTATGGGGTTGGAAGAGGTATGAGGAGAGAGGGAGGACCCCGCTGCTGGCTCCGCCCACCCTTCTGCCCGGCTGTGTGAGGTCCGCAACCTTTGCTTACTGCTCGTATGTCCTTGAGTGTAGACATTTGTGCGCTTGTCTGTGTCTATCTAGATATACATGCTTCTTTTCTAATGTCACCTTGCTGTACATCCATTCCCACTTCTGAGCAACCAGTTCACTCTTTGCTACTAATTGCACTTTGCTGTCTCCTTTTCCCCTCTCACTGCAATACTCTTTGCCCAATCCTTCCCCAGTACCTATCCTTTCTGTTCCCCATCCCCTTCTCAGGGCAGAGACCACAGGAAGCTGTAGCTGGTTGGGGTCGGGAGAATGGTCTGACTATAGGCTTAGCCTCCTGCTCTGGCTGCTTGGAGAGAAGTCCTGTTTGGGGACAGCAGGTGGCCTGACTGCTCGCCTCTGTAGAGAGTGCGGACAGCCCTGACGTACTGCAGATACTCAAGATCCATTGCAGCGACCCGCAGCTCATCGTGCAATTGCGTTTCTGCGGGCGCCTGCTGTGCGGCCGTTTCCTTCAAGCCTACCGCGAGGGGGCGCTGCGCGCCGCGCTGCAGAGGTGCATGGCCTCCGCACTTGCCCTGGAAGCCGTGCGGCTGCAATTGGAGTTGCATGCTGGCGCAGAGCAGCTGGACACTTGGCTGACCGACGAGGAGCGCTGTTTGAATTACATCTTAGCCCAGAAGGTGCTGCCATCTGGAGTTAGGATGGGATGGGCGGGGATTTGCGGCCCAAAGCAGCACTTACTGTGCACCCTTTTGCGCAGCCGGACCGGCTCCGGGACGAGGAACTCGTGGAACTGGAGAAGGAGCTGGGCAAGCTGACGTGCGACTGCACTGGCCAGGGTGGAACCATACAGGTTGACTCAGCCGCTTCTAAGTCCCTGGTTCCCTCTCCGGCCAAGGAGAAGCCACTGCCGGCGGCCTGCCAAACTTTTCTGTTCCATGGTCAGCCCATAGGTGAGGTTCACCAGCAGAAGCGGGGTCACCAATAGGTTGGTTGATCTGGGCTGGAGCATGGCTGGGCCCAGGGATCCGCAAGCAGGCGCGGGAGGGTGCTGGCTCTAGGGAAACCGATGCTCACCCACGTCTCCTCATTTTCTCGGCAGTGAACCGGCCACTGACTCTGCAAGACCAGCAGACGTTCGCTCGCTCAGTGGGCCTCAAATGGCGCAGGGTGGGGCGCTCGCTGCAGCGTAGCTGTCGAGCACTGAGGGATCCTGCTCTCGACTCGCTGGCCTATGAGTATGAGCGAGATGGGCTATATGAGCAGGCCTTCCAGCTTCTGCGCCGCTTCATGCAAGCCGAGGGCCGCCGTGCCACGCTGCAGCGCCTGGTGGAGGCGCTGGAGGAGAACGAGCTCACCAGTCTCGCAGAGGATCTGCTAGGCCAGGCGGAGCCGGATGGCGGCCTGGCCTAGGTCTGGTTCTGTGGGGAGGGCGGTCAACCAGCAGTTGAGCCAGGGTTTGGACCCCACCGGTGGCTGTTGGGGTCTTTTTACTGCTGCTCTTGCTACTGCTGACCACTTTCCATCCACTGGACTTGCCCACTTTGCTGAGCTGCTGGAGCGGAACTGACTGCCTTCCTCAGGAGCCAGGCAAGCACCACGGAACTTCAGGGGTACATCACTGAGGATTCTACCCCAGATTCTTTGATGGAGACAGTGTAGATGTCTCTGTCTTCCCATCCTAAAAGAGGACTTCCTGAAAAAACTCACCAAGTACCTGGACCTTCTGAGGTCTAGATGTCTGTCATTCAAGGTGCTGTAAATACTGTTGTGATCAGGATGCAAGAATCTTTCCTGTCCGTGTCTCATACTCAACGTGGGACCGAAGCACTTTGCAACGATAATAAAATGCAACCCTTTTACAGACTCATCGGAATACCGAGGTCTAGCCCAGGTTGGGGTCAGGCTCCTTCAAGGGATGAGTGAACCAGGTGGAGTTAGAAAGAGGAGGGGCAGGGTTCTGGGTACATCAGGCTTAGGTGGGGCCTTAAGGAAGGTGAGAAGGAGGGATGTTAGGACAAGTTTAGCAGGGCTAGATGGGAAGAGGGGTTGCTTCCTGTCCTGTTAGTGGGGGTTTGGTTTGTTTGTTTGTTTGTTTGTTTTTGGTGTTTGGGTTTTTTTTTGTGAACATCTTTTGTTGTTTTTTTAAAGACAGGGTTTCTCTGTGTAGTTTTGGTGCCTGTCCTTGCTCTCGCTCTGTAGACCAGGCTGGCCTTGAACTCACAGAACTCCGCCTGGCTCTGGCTCTGAGTTTAAAGGAATTAAATTAAAGTCCTGGCTCTGGCATTAAAGGAATGCGCTACCACTGCCCAGCTTTTTTTTTTTTTTTTTTTGACACCCTATCTTCTCAACTGTGATGGTTAAGTGATCATCTTTTAAGTATGGGCTTAAAACAGATATTACAATGAGCTTTAATTAGAAAAATTAAAATTTCAGTCAAGCAGTGGTGGCGCACACCTTTGCACCCAGCACTGGGGAGGAAGAGATAGGCAGACCTCTGAGTTTGAGGCGAGTTCCTGGACATCCAGGGCTACACAGAGAAACCCTGTCTCAAAAAACAAACAAAAGGAAACAAATTAGTATTTCAAATACTTTATTAGGGAACTTTACAATTGGAAAGGGATGCACAATTTTACAGGCTAGTAAATCCTAATTGAAATGATCAGGCAAATATAGTAAAACTGCATCTTTCCTATAACAAGTATACATTCTTTTCTGCAGGGACTCCTCTGTATGCCAGGGACCTGATCTCAGGATGATGTCATCATCTCTGTGAATTTCCCCTTCCTAAGGAACACCTTCTTCCTCATTTTTCTTCTTCAATAATAATGCATTTCTTCATCTTGAGATCCTTTCTCCTCACTTGTAGTGAATTATGATCCAGCCTTAGTAACCTTCTTCCCAGGGACTCAGAAGAGAAGCTACGAACAGCGTGAATTATTTTCGGGAAAAGAATCTAAGTACACCGAGCTCTTTGTCCGTCTACTTTATTCCTCTGGGATAAAATTCTTTCTACACAGCTTCAGTTCTGCTCTCATGCCTAGCTCCTTTCTTGCTTGATTTCTGTCTACATTTATCTGCTGTCCTCTAAGTTCTATCTTAATTCTCTTATCTTAGTTCTGCCCCGTCTAGGTTCTCATCCATCCAGTTCTTTCCCATCTCCTCTCCCATTTCCTTCTCTCTCATCTTGTTCTTCCCCATCTGGCTCTTCCTCATCTTCCATCTCATTCCTCTATTATTCTCTTCTAACCCTTCAATCTAGTTCTTCCCCATCTCAGTTCATTCCCCTCCAGTTCTTACCCATCTAGTTCTTCCATTCTCTTTTTTCTTCTCCGTCTCTTCCTCTCAAGTCTCTGAGGTTTGCAGTTATATACCCATGCAATAGCAATGCTCTGGTTAAAGCAAGGTCACCAGGCCTGAATTCCCTCAGGGTCAAAAGGAGGGCCAATAAGACCCACACAAAAGAGCAGTAACTGCTAGCCATCATCTGCAACCCAAAAGGGAGGTTACTAATGGGGAATAGAATCAACTGAGGGCTAAATTCGGTTAATATCTGAGCAAGGGGGATTTTATGTGCTCAACTATATTCTTAGAAGTGGTTAGTTAAAGTGTTAGGAGTCTATCAGTGACAAGTGAAAATAAAACTGTCTTATTTTCCTTTAGCCCCTTATCTGTCCAAGCTATCTTGGCTACTGAGGTTTTCTGGCAGGGCAGGGGAGTAATACACCCGGTGGCTGGGCAGCCTGAGTCAGCTTGATGGACCTGTAAGTAGAAACACTTTAGTTCTGAGTTAATAGTTAAAGGTAGATCTAAAACTAGAGATAAGACTTGGGAAAGGGAGAAAGTTAAGCTTAATTAGTACATCTGCCAGGCCTTCTCAAACAGGTAGTCTGGGTGCTTAAGTCTGTTCTTAGAGAGTACAGAGGTATCTCTGATAAGATACTTTCGTCCTTCCAGGGATGGTCCTGGCCGGGTGCTGCTAATGACGATAGTTACAGAAAGGCCTGAAATTAGGGATCCTGGCTGCATTACTGCACAAACAGTTATCTAAATATTCCTTTAGTAGAGGGGAAATGGTGCCCACTGAATGATGGAAAAACTATAATAGCACATGAGAAATTCATGGTAGGAAATGGCTAATACTCAAAAGTCAGTATCACCAGGACTCCGTGAGCCTCAGCTTGACCTCTGGAAGACCCTTGGCTTCTTCCAAGTATTAGCTTGTCATAATCAGCTGAAATCCTACTTCATATATTTTTGTGGCTTATAGCAGGCACTCTTTTCAGGGTCTCCCTCTGTAGACCAGGCTTTTCCTCCATCCTCAAACCCGAGAGCTGAGATTACATACGCCACCGTGCCCGGCCTACATTTCATCCAAGTCCTAAATGCCTGCTTCTCTTTCCCTCCCCAATTCTGAGCCTGCTCCATCTTCATCTCCATGCTCCCTCTTCCTCTGTAGGTGGGCAAGCTTCCTTGTGATCGTCTCCTCTTCCTGCCCCAAGACATGGTTTCGCTCTCCGGTCACATTCTTCTCAGCTTATGATTTGCTGCAGCAGCTCATAACACACCTTCTCTTAACTCAAAAACACCTCTTAACCCCCAGGTTTGTGGTCTCAGTTTAAGAAATCCAAGACTCGGCCGGGCGGTGGTGGCGCACGCCTTTAATCCCAGCACTCGGGAGGCAGAGCCAGGCGGATCTCTGTGAGTTCGAGGCCAGCCTGGGCTACCAAGTGAGTTCCAGGAAAGGCACAAAACTACACAGAGAAACCCTGTCTCGAAAAACCAAAAAAAAAAAAAAAAAAAAAAAAAAAGAAATCCAAGACTTTCCGAAGTTTAAGATTTTTCAGTTTCCACTTTGACCTTGTTTTCACTGAGACTGAAGCATAAGATTCAGACGTTTACGGGGCATGTGGCATTTGGGACATTGGGGCAGGAGGATTGCTTCAACTTGGAAGCCAGCATGAGCTACATATTGAGATGTAGCCCCCCTAAAATAAAACAGAACCAAACAAAAAAATCTTGACCCTCCCCCCTTTTTTGCTAGTACTTCCAACAGAACTTGTAAGTTCAACCTTCTAAGTTTATTTAAGTTAGAAGCCTGGGCTAGTGAACTTAATCCCAAATTACACATATTCAGAAACTCTAGAGTAGTTGGCTGATTGATTTTTGTGGTGGTAGGGATAGAACCCAGGCTCCCAGAAAGTGTTCTACCACTGAGCCACATTCTGGCTCTTGGTTTTTGTTTGTTTTTTTGAGACAAACTCATCATGTAGCTAAGGCTGGCCTAGAATTCATGATTCTCCTACTTGCAATTTCTGAGTGTTGTGATTACAGATGTCCACCAAATTGTGCTAGGAAGTCTGTTTTTAAAATATCCTCTGGGGAACTGGGCATGGTGGCACATCATTAATCCTTGGCAGGCAAAGGCAGATGGATCCCTGTGAGTTAGAGGCCAGCCTGAGATAAATTGTGAGTTCCAGGTCAGCCATGGTTAGGGTTCTGGCCTCAGGCACTAGCACTCACATACATGTATATACCCACACACATGCATATTCATAATTTAAAGATCTTCAGGGGCTGAAGAGATGGCTTGGTGGTTCTGGAAGATCAAGGTTTGATTCCCAGGAACCACATGGCAGCTCACAAACACCTTTAATTCCACTTCCAGGGGATCCAATGCCCTCTTCTGGCACCAGGCATGTGCACGGTGCACAGTTGAACAAGCAAGCAAATCATCCATACACATAAACTATTTCCCACAGACACACAGCAGTTATTAAGGACCAACTGTTATCACTGGGGCTTTGTTTCTTTTTTCTTTTTGAGATAGGGTCTCACTATGTAACGTTGGCTGTCCTGGAACTCACTATGTAGTCCAGGCTGGCCACAAACTCTGGAGATCTGCCTGCCTCTGAGTGCTACGATTACCTGGCCTATGGAGTGCTGTTTCTAAATAACCCCACATTAAACCTCTTTTTTTTTTTTTTTTTTTTTTTTTTGTTTTTCGAGACAGGGTTTCTCTGTGTAGCTTTGCGCCTTTTTCCTGGAACTCACTTGGTAGCCCAGGCTGGCCTCGAACTCACAGAGATCCACCTGCCTCTGCCTCCCGAGTGCTGGGATTAAAGGTGTGCGCCATCACTACCCGGCCAGCATGGCCTGTCTTTAAAACCCCAAAAAATCAGTGAGGTGTGTGGCATAAGACGGTCTGAATGAAAGCGGCTCAAGAAGGAAGGGAAACCAGGAGATCTAGAAAACGGGACAGCCTACGTTGGCTCTTTGGCCCCTTCTAGAAGCATCCCCCCAACAATACCAGTCCCTGACGGCCCAATCTAGATTACAGAAGCAACAACACGGTCATTACTACCTGCAAGGATACTGTATGTTGGGGATCAGGAAACTCAAAACTGGATCTGGGCAAGGAGACAGGAATGAAGTGCTTGCCTGGGAAATTAATGTAAATGGAAGTGGCTCCATTTTCTGTATCCATTGGATGAAGAGGGCAAGGAAGCACTGGGAGATTCCTGGATTCCACGAAACCTGGGGGCACTAGTTTCTGCCTGTGTCATCTTGGGCCAAGTCACTTACCTCACAAAGCAGTGGTCCTCTCTGGGCAAAGAGCTGCCGGCAAGTCTGTAGGAACAAAACTTGCTGTCTTGTTTCTGGGGGTTGTGTGTGCTCGCATTTACTGGTGGCAAGTGTGGCAGCTAGGAGTACGGGGGCAGCTACATACCACTGGGGCAGTTTATGGCTCCTGCTTGGTGGACCAGGGCTGCTGAGGAGAGGTGTTCTGAAAAATGGCCTGGGATGGTGGCCAAAGAGCTGAAAGTTAAGGCACTCAAGCCTAGGGATTTGGGACCCATCAGCCAG